ATCTACCAGGATCCTACAGGAAAAGACTCTCCAGGCCACTCAGGTTCCACAGCTCCTCCAAAGCAAACCACTCCTCGATACACAGGTATCTCAGTGTATGCATCAGTGGATGAACATCATATTAGGACCTTGAAAGTATAAAAAGCAAATCTCCCATAGTGCAATACTGTTTATTAATGTAAACTACATAAAAATCACCAAGTTCAAACTCACATATTAGCAGATCAAAAACAGGCTTTTTCAACACTCAGCATGGGTGTAAGTGCATGTAACTGGAGTAGCAAGATGGCGCGCCACTGGAAGTGTGTCACCACGCTGGATCTACGTGTTACGCCGGATCTACGTGTTACGCCACGCCCTCGTGACTTCCTGAAAATGTATGGCTCCAATCGCACCGCACAGAATTTGCATGTGATTTGCACAGGAATGCGGTGCGGTTCCTGTGCTAATCACATGAGATATGTGCACCGCACAAGTGTGAACCCAGGCAGAGTCTCACCCTTCTCTTCACAAATTTCTTTACACAGCTTGCAAAGCTCAGCATACAATCCTGACCTCTGCCGGATGAATGATCTCCTGTGCACATGCTCTGGAACTACATCATCCCTCGCCAGCTTAGAAGACTACATCAGTGCTGGAGAGGGAGTTTGCAGACATCGCACTGCTGGTGTGGAGGTAAGTATAGGCGGAGTTTAGTTTTGCTTTATAATATATAAAAAGAATAAAAAACTGTCAACAAATTCACCATAAGAAAACCTTGTTTCTTACAATGCAACAATTGATGTCTTCTGTATCCTAATGCAGGCCACAGATGGGTCAAAAATCGGTCCAAAAAAAAAAAAAAAAAGTTAGTGAGTTAATAGGTCACCGGTTTTGCCGATCGATCGGCCGATTTTCACAGCAATGATGGGCAAATCGACCGATCTTTTTACCAATAAAAAATCTGCGCATGACCCGTGACCTGCAAGAAGCAGAAAAAGAAGAAGAAAAAGAAGCAAAAGAAAAAGAATAAGAAAAAGGAGAAGAAAAAAAGAAGAAAAAGAAGAAAAAAGGAGAAGAAAAAAAGAAGAAAAGAAAAAGAAGAAGAAGAAGAAGAAGAAGAAAAAGGAGAAGAACAAGAGAAGAAGAAGAAAAGGAGAAAGAAGAAAAAAAAAGCCAAAGAAGAAGAAAAGGAGAAAAGAAGAAAAAGAATTCCAGTCCGCTATTATATTTGACATTAAAAATGATTGCGGTTGCCACATTGTATCTATTTGTATCCGAATAAAAACATCTGTATCCGAAATAGATACAAATAGATACAATGTTGCAACCACAATACTTTTTAATGTCAAATATAATAGCGGAGCTCTCTGCAGGGACAGAAGTAATTAAATGCCGGCCGTAGACAGGACGAAAATCGGCCGATTTTTTTTTTTACCGTTGGTGGTAACGTCGGCCGATTTTTCGTTTTTGTTTTTAAAAAACATCCGGTTTTCGCCCCATCTATGGCCTGCATAAATTATTGCAGAAGTCCTCATGTACACAGGGCGGTTTAAAACCGCTCATCTTGGCAGCAGCGTTTTTGCAGAAAAAACGCCTGACGCTTGTCAAAGTGTCTAATGCTTTTACAAGTGTTTAGGCACATTTACAAGTGTCAAGACGGGCGTTAATTCATTTCATTGGCCAGAATAATCATTTATCCTGGCCATTGCAATGAATTAATGTTCAAGAGCTAAAACTGTCTAGTGAGAACACGTGTAAAGTGATTTTTCTGCCAAAAGGCTGCTGCTCCTTGACGCACTGGGGATTTTTTCCTGCTGGTAAATACTACTGATACTAAAAGCTTCTAAAAGTCTTTCTGTGCGTGGACACATAGGATAGCATGGAGGGCCATTTGGAAGCAGAAACAATAAAAAAAAACAAAAAAAGCTTGACTCCCCTGCAAATACACCCTGTGTTCATGTGGCCTGAAGGCCAGTTCACACTACATGCATTTCAGTTGCTTTTTTTCTGCATCTAAGCGCACAGAACGTAGGGGATATGGTTGGCAATGTCATAGTTCACATCAGTGCTTGCAGTTCCAGTGCGTTCCGGTTTCAGAAGAAAAAAAAAAAAAGAACAGGCTGCATTTTTCCTGCACTGTAAAACGCATCAAAGATGCACCAAAATGCACTGGAATGCACGTCACTATTTAAATTTAAAAAGAGAGGGGGGAAAAATAAACTGGAAAGCATAAAAAACGCACCGGCATGCATCAAAAAAAATCTGAAGGACCCTCTGCACACTGGTATATACCCTTTCCAGCAGACTTTGCCATAAAGAATAGGGATACTTAGTTCACACATATTGCTATACATGTTCTAGGTGGCCAACTGCGTCAAAGTCATCCCTCTATGGCCAGACCTACTCTGCTCTGCCTACGCAATGCTTCTGTGGACACAATGCCAATACTGGGGAAAAGACAAAGTGGCTAAATGGTTAGCACTTCCACCTGGCAGTACTAGGGTCGTTGGTTCAAATCCCAACCACGGCACCACCTAAATTATCCAAAACATGGGGAGATAGTAGGGGATGGTCGAACACATTGAGGAAGGGAGCTCCAGAGGATGGGAGCAGCTCTGGAGAAGTCCTGGAGGCGAGCATGGGAGGAGTTACAAGGGAGCTAGAGAACAGGAGGTCTTGGGAGGAACAAAGAGAGTGATAGGCAGCACAGTGGGTAAAGGGTTAGCACTTCCACCTGGCAGTACTAGGGATGTTGGTTCTAATCCCAACCACGGCTCCACCTGCCTGGAGTTTGCATGTTCTCCCTGTGCCTGTATGGGTTTCCTCCGGGTACTCCAGTTTCCTCCCACACTCCAAAGACATACTGGTAGGTTAATTGGCTCCTGTCCAAATTGTCCCTAGTATGTATGAATGTAAGTTAGGGACCTTAGATTGTACTCCCCTTGAGGGTTAGGGACTGATGTGAATGTACAATATACAGGTGAAACTGGAAAAATTTGAATATCGTACAAAAGTTCATTTATTTCAGTAATGCAACTTAAAAAGGTGAAACTAATATATGAGATAGACTCATTACTGCAAAGCAAGATAGTTCAAGCCGTGATTTTGTCATAATTGTGATGATTATGGCTTACAGCTCATAAAAACCCCAAATCCACAATCTCAGAAAATTAGAATATTGTGAAAGGTGCAATATTCTCGGCTCAAAGTGTCCCACTCTAATCAGCTAATTAAACCATAACACCTGCAAAGGGTTCCTGAGCCTTTAAATGGTCTCTCAGTCTGGTTCAGTAGGAATCACAATCATGGGAAAGACTGCTGACCTGACAGTTGTGCAGAAAACCATCATTGACACCCTCCATAAGGAGGGAAAGCCTCAAAAGGTAATTGCAAAAGAAGTTGGATGTTCCCAAAGTGCTGTATCAAAGCACATTAATAGAAAGTTATGTGGAAGGGAAAAATGTGGAAGAAAAAGGTGCACAAGCAGCAGGGATGACCGCAGCCTGGAGAGGATTGTCAGAAAAAGGCCATTCAAAAGGGTTGGGGACTTTCACAAGGAGTGGACTGAGGCTGGAGTCAGTGCATCAAGAGCCACCACACACAGGCGGATCCTGGACATGGGCTTCAAATGTCGTATTCCTCATCAAGCCGCTCCTGAACAACAAACAACATCAGAAGCGTCTTACCTGGGCTAAAGAAAAACAGACCTGGTCTGTTGCTCAGTGGTCCAAAGTCCTCTTTTCTGATGAGAGCAACTTTTGCATCTCATTTGTAAACCAAGGACCCCGAGTATGGAGGAAGAATGGAGAGGCACAAGGACCCCAAGTATGGAGGAAGAATGGAGAGGCGCACACTGCAAATGCTTGAAGTCCAGTGTGAAGTTTCCACAGTCTGTGTTGATTTGGGGAGCCATGTCATCTGCTGGTGTTGGTCCACTGTGCTTCATTAAGTCCAGGGTCAACGCAGCCGTCTACCAGGAGATTTTGGAGCACTTCATGCTTCCTTCCGCAGACGAGCTTTATGGGCATGCTGACTTCATTTTCCAGCAGGACTTGGCACCTGCCCACACTGCCAAAAGCACTAAAACCCGGTCAATGACCGTGGGATTACTGTGCTTGATTGGCCAGCAAACTCGCCTGACCTGAACCCCATAGAGAATCTATGGGGCATTGCCAAGAGAAAGATGAGAGACATGAGACCGAACAATGCAGAAGAGCTGAAGGCCGCTATTGAAGCATCCTGGTCTTCCATGACACCTCAGCAGTGCCACAAGCTGATAGCTTCCATGCCACGCCGCTTTGAGGCAGTAATTGCTGCAAAAGGGGCCCAAACCAAGTACTGAGTACATATGCATGCTTCTACTTTTCAGAGATCTGATATTGTTCTATGTACAATCCTTGTTTTATTGATTGCATGTAATATTCTAATTTTCTGAGATTGTGGATTTGGGGTTTTCATGAGCTGTAAGCCATAATCATCACAATGATGACAAATCACGGCTTGAACTATCTTGCTTTGCATGTAATGAGTCTCTCTCATATATTAGTTTCACCTTTTAAGTTGCATTACTGAAATAAATGAACTTTTGCACCATATTCTAATTTTTCGAGTTTCACCTGTAGATGAGGATCTGACTGGAGGCGGCTATTAAAGTCTATGGGCATAAGTCAGACAGACGTCGTATTGAAGTAGTACAGGAACCTTTTGTAAAGTCGGAGTGATTTCAGTGGTGCTAATTAAGACAGCTCTCGTTGACTAATATGGGATTTCACATGCGTCATGGGGTCTCCTAAGTCGGATCTCAAGTTGGAGCAATGTGAACCGAGCCTAAAAACGGGTGGAACTTGAAACATGTTCCCAAAGGTAAACTTATCCTTCAAGGTAAGCCAGGTGCTTTATAAAAAGAAATAACTGCATGTACAGGGCTTAAAATTTCAAGTCCTGAGCTACTAGTCAGGCCTTAAGAGCTACTCGCCATCAACAAACACAAACAAACAGAGACACCTGTACACACACACACACACAGACATGTACATACACACACACAGATACATGTACACACATGCACAGAGACACATGTACACACACACATATACATACATACAGACAGATGTACATGCACACACATATGTACATACACGCAGACACATGTACATGCATACACAGACACACACCCCACCCCCTATAAAAAGTTGCAGTACTTCGTTGATCACTCACAGAGCTGGGTACTGCACTCTAGGGGAAGGCAGAAAGCACAGCACACACTCCTTGCTTTGCTTTCACTGTACTCAGCTATTGAGCAGTCTGACGGCTCCCAGTGCTAATGACAGATCCGGCCTGAGCTCCGAGCCTGCTCAGCAAGACGGCCCTGGGGGACACATTCACCCACACCATAATTTCCACTCACTATTGGCGAGCAGGCGAGTGGAAATTTCAAGGCCTGACCTAAAGGATACATTTTTATTCTTTAAAAATAATAAAATTGCCATACTTACCTGCTCTGTCCAATGGTTTTGCATTGACACACAGAGCGTGGCTCAGCCCTGACTCCGGCTCCCTCCCCACTGGCTGTGAATACCAACATTGGGTGCCAATGGCTCCTGCCGCTGTCTGACTCATTGAGGGGAAAGAGAGCACAAAGACAACCTTTGCTCTTGTGCACAACACTGGATAGAGACTGGGCTCAGGTAAGTATCAGGAGAATAATCTTTTACCTTTAGAACCACTTTAAGTTCAAAAATCTCATATTAGACTGAAGTGCCTTTATAAAGCACAACTGTGGAAGCCGAAGTAAGCAAACAAAGCAAGCAAGGAGAAAAGGACTAGTCACTAGTTTTGCCTGTTGTCGGCTCCCTTTAGTTGATCTTTTTCTCATTACTGCCTTGTCATGCCAGGTTCTGCACTGTGTATATGTATAGAGTCAGCCATCTTAGTAGAGGCAGAGCTCCCACATGATGGCTGGTAGAGTAACGAATGAGAAGTAGCAACCAAGGTAGGGGAAAGAGATTTGCGCAGTAAATTAACCACTTCCCACCCGGCCCATGTACATAAATGGCTGGACAAGCAGTGCACGAGCTGGTGGCCGTTCATAAACGTCCTCCCCATTTCCCTGCCTGTGCGTGCTCCCTGGGAGCATGCGGGACTGCGATCCGGAGGACACAGCGGAACACCAATCACTCTACAGGACCTCTGTGTGAGGTCCCGATCATGTGATCACTGATTGACCAATCAGTGATCACAACTTCCTGACACCATTGCTTACTACGTGTGAAATCTGTGAATGATCACTGAGGTCACATAGTACAAGGCTTTTCACAACAGCCTTGTACCATGTGACAAGCTGTGACCAATCACAGCTCAAACAGTATTTCTCAATGGCTGCAAGAACGCAGCCAGAGAGAAGGAGAAATTATTGCTTTTACAGCCTTTATGGGTGTAAAAGCAATCAGTGTAAAAAGAAAAAAAAATATATATATTCATCACACCCCCACAAAAAGTACAGTAATACTATGGTGACACTGTACTGCTCGGGTGACAGTATGTTAAAAAAAAAATATATATATATATATATATATATATATATATATATATATATATATAAAACGTTAAAAATTTTTGGGAAAAATTAAAATTTTTGGTTATAAAACTAATTTGGGTTTTTTTTTTTTTTTTTTTACTAAAAAGATAGCTGAATACATTTTGGCCAAGATTTATGAAGAAAGATTATTTATTTGCAAAATTTTATAAGAAAAACACTTTTTTTCAAAATGTTTGGACTTTTTCATTTGTATAGCAAAAAAATAAAAATCTCAGTGGTGACTAAATACCAACATAACGTTTTATCTGTCTCAAAAAAATTAATACGGGTATAGTGTTGCATGACCGCGCAATTGTCATTCAAAGTGTGATAACGCTGAAAGATGAAAATTGGCCTGGACAGGAAAGGGGTGAAAGAGTCCGGACATGAAGTGGTTAAAGTGGAACATCCCATAACAACTTAATAAAAAAAATAATGTTCTTTAGCCAGGAACATACATTCCACATTAATAATTACACTACCAATAATAGTGTGTGCTGTAAATTGACTCCAGTATTGCTCCTGTTTCTTCTTGGATTGGCTGTCATTCTGCTGAAGCCTAAAGATTTACTGCTGCTCAGAGGCTCTGAGCAGCAGTAAATCTTTAGGCTGTCAGCAGATTGGCCTCTACATTTTCAATAGTGCAAAAAAATAGAGTGCAACTGAGCATGTGCAGAGCAGGATGACACAGTGCCTTTTACTGGATTTTAAACAGTATAGTCACTTATTTTTACAAAGCTATTCCTGCAGCCTAAAGTGATCTAGCAGGGCTTCATTTTCTGACTAAAGTTCCACTTTAACCTCCCTAGCTGTCCTATTATGTCAGTATTTCTGTGCTCAAAGCGGTACATTTTTTTTTGCATGGAAATATGTTGTTTTTTTATTGTAGGCCTGTAATTTTTAGGAATAACTGACTGCCTAGTAAACATCCCGGGTAAAATTTGAACCACGAAATCATAAATTATAATTTAATAATCATAAAAAATAATAATATAATAATAAATTTAATTCAATAATATAATCCAACCAAAACACTGAAATTTTAAATATAGCGCCAAGTTCGCACATCACTGAGCAAAGTCACAAAATCGTTTTCAGTGTCTGATGACGAATTTCCCCCACGATTCATTATCACTCAATTCTGCAAGTGGTTCTGATTTACTATCGCTGTTCTCTAGCTGGTCTAAAACCGATTTTGACCTAAAGGGACGCTTTTTGGACGCCATGGATGTTTCTCAGTTTCCAGGCAGAAAGAACGATAAAAATGTAGGCAGGGCGCAGGACAAAGCACTCGGGACAAAATGTATGTGAAATGGTTTGATACAGTAATGTTTTACGATGTGATTTTTGTGTATTTAGTAAATGTCACTTTTTGTCATTTTCAAATTTCCCGCCAGTTCTGTCCCCCGTACGTCCCGACGTCGCAGGGAACGAAACCCAGAAGACAGATGCCGGCATCCGCCGGAGGACATTACAGGGGACACTGCAGGAGGGACATCGCGGGAGCGCAGGACAAGGTAAGTGAAGAACAGATCCCGGAGCAGAGCCGCATGGTAAGCCCGAGTGTAGCTCGGGGTTACCACTTGTGGTGCTGAAACTTTACCCCGAGCTACACTCGGGAATACCGCCAGGGGGGTTAAGCAGAATCAGGGAGATCCTTGCACTGTAGGTCCTCAAGTACACCTTCCTCTCCAGGAAGAACAGTGAGCATCACCAAATCTCCTGAGACTGACAACACTGCCTTAGATGACTGCATGCTGCAAATAGCTAAGACACTCCACACACAAGAGTGCCTAGGCACAGGAAGTGCTCTGCTGATTTTCAGAAGAAATACAAGGCAATGGGAACATTTTTCAGGTCACTGTTCAAGCACAATTAAACATTTTATATGTTCCCTATTAAAAAAAAAAAAAAAGCAAATGTTCACGTTTTCAGTTCAGGTTGACTTTAAGTAGAATTATATACCAGGCCACACTTAGAAAAATGAAAGCTGATTTTTATTATTTTAACAGCCATCCATTTGACATAAACATGCATACGTAATTCTGATACGCACACATCACATTATTTATGTTAGTCTTCAAAGAATTAAACATACAACATACATCCTTACAAAAATGAGTCAAAATGCAACCTAAAAAGTTTCCTGTTTCTAATTCAGAAAGAAAAAAAAAAAAAAAACATTGTGCTGGGTACCATTTTTTTGTACAACAGTTAATTTAAACACTTCTGTTCATTTTTTTTTTCTTGGCTGCACGTGAGAAAACAAAAAGCCGAAACAATAATAAAAAAATTCTCTTTTTTTTTTTCTTTAAACAGTAGAAATCGGCAGTTTCGCCATGCAGTTTAAGCAATATTAAATATTAGTTTAATTTTTTTCTGGCAGAGGAAGAAAAAAAATAAGTTTAAAAATATTAAGTTCAAGTCACAGAATCTTCCCCCAACACAGAGGAAAAACTTAACGCAACGCAGAAATAGCTGCCAATGAAACGGCCATTTTGAAAATGTTTAAACTGCCTCCCAGGGTATTTTTTTTTCTCTCATTGATTTTGGCACAAAAATGAAGATGGAGCTTATGTAAGAACAAGAACAAGGATTAAAAAGGAGGGTAAAGAAAAGGCAGATGACAGACAGCAGCAGTGGAGGGGGGCTGGGCAGAAATGGTCATCGCAATCACTAAAATCTGGAACGTCTCAGTCATTGCGGAATACTGTCTTATGTCCACAGCAGGATTTGTGCGCGGCTTCACCGCCGTTATTGCAGCATCGCCTTGATTTGCTTCGAGGTAGTTTCGTCGTTCAAATGTTTCGTTGTGTACCTGGAGAATGATATCAGAGACAACACAGGTTAACTAAAAGTCAAAATTTTAAAGCGAATTTATGTTGTTTTTATGTAATTATTCAAAAGCTGGGCTCTGGGCAGCGAGTACAGATAATGTACACACATATCGACTGTCTTACCATCAATTTTGCGCTTAAAGTGTTACTAACCCACAACAGTAAAATCAGTCTGTATATGCAGTAAAGCATGCGTGTTATACTCACTGTGGAACCTAAGGGGTTAATCCTCACCATTGTGTAAATAGAATGTTTGATCATGTCTTCTCTGATCCTACCCTTCTTCTACTGTCCCCAATCCATCTGTTGATAGAACAAAGCCTTGGGGGCAAGCTGCACATGCTCAGATTGGTGTGTATTGCTAGAGAGGGTTTTTTTTTTTCTTGGAAGAGTGCATGTGATCAGCACATGGCCAATCAATGTTGTGGTTCAGGGGTTATGCAGCCTCAAAGGACAATCAGGGGAGAATGAAAACTCCTCCTACAAGCTTTAACCAGTACTCTACTTGAAACTGATAAAAGTCACAAGATTCCCTTAACTGCTGATGAGAAAAGGTATTTAGCAGTTTTTATTTACTAAAATAATTGCATTTCCATGTTCTGTGTACTGTGGGAAACCAGATATAGTGGATGCAGGGTCCGGGGAGTCCAGATATAGTGAATGTAGGGTCCGGGGAGACCAGATATAGTGAATGCAGGGTCCGGGGAGACCAGATATAGTGGATGCAGGGTCCGGGGAGACCAGATATAGTGAATGCAGGGTCCAGGGAGACCAGATATAGTGAATGCAGGGTCCAGGGAGACCAGATATAGTGAATGTAGGGTCCGGGGAGTCCAGATATAGTGAATGCAGGGTCCGGGGAGACCGGATATAGTGAATGCAGGGTCCGGGGAGAACAGATATAGTGAATGCAGGGTCCGGGGAGACCAGATATAGTGAATGTAGGGCCTGGCGAGACCAGATATAGTGAATGCAGGGTACAGGGGGAACAGATATAGTGAATGCAGGGTCCGGGGAGACCGATATAGTGAGTGCAGGGTCCGGGGAGACCGAATATAGTGAGTGCAGGGTCCGGGGAGACCGAATATAGTGAGTGCAGGGTCCGGGGAGACCGAATATAGTGAGTGCAGGGTCCGGGGAGACCGAATATAGTGAGTGCAGGGTCCGGGGAGACCGAATATAGTGAGTGCAGGGTCCGGGGAGACCGAATATAGTGAGTGCAGGGTCCGGGGAGACCGAATATAGTGAGTGCAGGGTCCGGGGAGACCGAATATAGTGAGTGCAGGGTCCGGGGAGACCGAATATAGTGAGTGCAGGGTCCGGGGAGACCGAATATAGTGAGTGCAGGGTCCGGGGAGACCGAATATAGTGAATGCAGGGTCCGGGGAGATCAAATATAGTGAATGCAGGGTCCGGGGAGACCGGATATAGTGAATGCAGGGTCCGGGGAGACCGGATATAGTGAATGCAGGGTCCGGGGAGACCGGATATAGTGAATGCAGGGTCCGGGGAGACCGGATATAGTGAATGCAGGGTCCGGGGAGACCGGATATAGTGAATGCAGGGTCCGGGGAGACCGGATATAGTGAATGCAGGGTCCGGGGAGACCGGATATAGTGAATGCAGGGTCCGGGGAGATCGGATATAGTGAATGCAGGGTCCGGGGAGACCGGATATAGTGAGTGCAGGGTCCGGGGAGACCGGATATAGTGAGTGCAGGGTCCGGGGAGACCGGATATAGTGAGTGCAGGGTCTGGGGAGACCGGATATAGTGAGTGCAGGGTCCGAGGAGACCGGATATAGTGAATGCAGGGTCCTGGGAGACGGGATATAGTGAATGCAGGGTCCGGGGAGACCGGATATAGTGAGTGCAGGGTCCGGGGAGACTGGATATAGTGAGTGCAGGGTCCGGGGAGATCGGATATAGTGAGTGCAGGGTCCGGGGAGATCGGATATAGTGAGTGCAGGGTCCGGGGAGACCGGATATAGTGAATGCAGGGTCTGAGGAGACCGGATATAGTGAGTGCGGGGTCTGAGGAGACCGGATATAGTGAGTGCGGGGTCTGGGGAGACCGGATATAGTGAGTGCGGGGTCTGGGGAGACCGGATATAGTGAGTGCAGGGTCTGGGGAGACCGGATATAGTGAGTGCAGGGTCTGGGGAGACTGGATATAGTGAGTGCAGGGTCTGAGGAGACCGGATATAGTGAGTGCGGGGTCTGGGGAGACTGGATATAGTGAGTGCGGGGTCTGGGGAGACCGGATATAGTGAGTGCGGGGTCTGGGGAGACCGGATATAGTGAGTGCAGGGTCTGAGGAGACCGGATATAGTGAGTGCAGGGTCTGAGGAGACAGATATAGTGAGTGCAGGGTCTGAGGAGACCAGATATAGTGAGTGCAGGGTCTGAGGAGACCAGATATAGTGAGTGCAGGGTCTGAGGAGACCGGATATAGTGAGTGCAGGGTCTGAGGAGACCGGATATAGTGAGTGCAGGGTCTGAGGAGACCGGATATAGTAAGTGCAGGGTCTGAGGAGACCGGATATAGTGAGTGCAGGGTCTGAGGAGACCGGATATAGTGAGTGCAGGGTCTGAGGAGACCGGATATAGTGAGTGCAGGGTCTGAGGAGACCGGATATAGTGAGTGCAGGGTCTGAGGAGACTGGATATAGTGAGTGCAGGGTCTGAGGAGACTGGATATAGTGAGTGCAGGGTCTGAGGAGACCGGATATAGTGAGTGCAGGGTCTGAGGAGACCGGATATAGTGAGTGCAGGGTCTGAGGAGACCGGATATAGTAAGTGCAGGGTCTGAGGAGACTGGATATAGTGAGTGCAGGGTCTGAGGAGACCGGATATAGTAAGTGCAGGGTCTGAGGAGACCGGATATAGTAAGTGCAGGGTCTGGGGAGACTGGATATAGTGAGTGCAGGGTCCTGGATTTAGTAACACTTTAAGAATGTATGCAGCCAGGTCTCTTATCTTCAGTGCTGTTAAGCAACACATTGTGGTCGAGGGCAAAGCCCAACACTGATGAGTTCATCTTGGTGCTCTTCCCGCCTGTAAACATGTTCAGCGCTAAAATGAGAGAACTGTGCAAACCAATAGCAACTTGGCTGGCTCAAACTGCTTCCCCCACTTTTCCCTGCCTACAGCTCATCAAAGGATTGAATCTCAGCCGGTTCAGCAAGGACCAGCCGAGATTCGATTCATCTATGGGAAGGCTGGTGGTACTAAAGTCAATCCATCAAATGGCTTCAATACAACCTGCCTGTCAACTGTTATAGCCGCAAGCAGAGATCATTGTATTCTGCCAGCAGAGAAGGCGCCCCGCTGGCAAAACAATAATAGTGCTGCGGGGATACCCCCATCAACACTGTGTTGATGGGGAAATCGAGCAATTTTCTTTCCTTCCACCCATAGTGAAAGCAGAAAAAACAATTGCATATACTATGGACTGCTTAAAGTGATTGTAGGTTTTTTTTTTATTATTATTAAAATAGTAAACATGTTATACTTACCTGCTCTGTGTAATGGTTTTGCATCCCCAATCCTCCTCTTCTTGGGTTCACCTCTGGCACGCCTGGCTCCTCCTTCACTGCTCCCATAGGAAGCTGCAACCTATGGGGGCACTTGTGTGGGCTTTCTCCTGAGCCCAGCTGACTGCATCCATAGACACAGACAGAGGGGCACGGCCCTGCCCCCTGCTCCCTCTTCACAGAGTGGTGATCGACAGCAGTGGGAGCCAATGGCTCCCGCTGCTATCGATGTGTCCAGTGAGGAGGGACAGAGCCGGGAGAGCCATTGCTCTCATACATAGTGCTGGATCGTGATGGGGCTCAGATAAATATAAGTGGGGACTCGGGGAGATCCCACTCACAGAAGATATTTTTTTTAGGTAAAAAACCTTAAGGATTTACAACCACTTTAAGTGCTGCTAATATACAGATACAGGTAGCTCTGTTTATACTGATGATATACAGAGGAAAAAGGGTATTTACATGCCGAAATGAGTTTTGACCCTGGGTTTAAATATAGTTGACACCTCCCTAATTGAACCAGTTAATGTTTTTCAAAACATGGGAGATGCATAAAAGAAGGCTCAGAGAGCCTGCTGATTGAAAGAGGTTCAACAACAATCTTGCCATAAGAATTTATGTAACCTTAACATATTTCAGGCATGTTATTTACCTGTAAAAACTCCTCCTTGTGTAGACATTCAAAAGCCTTAGGAATACTGCAGATTGCAACTGGAGTGACAGCTACGAGTCTGCTGGAGCTGCTGACATCCAAGATGGCAGTGCCCAGCAGCAGTCTAAGGGCTTTTGCATGTAGAGATAAACAAAATGCAGATAGCCATTGGAAGATGTGAGGGAGACTGCTGGGGGAGCTGATAGAATGTTGGAGCTCTGAGTTAGCATCTCTATTACTGCCGCTTCACATCCACCTTAATTCCTTGGCGCTGGAGCCTCCCGGCCCTTTAAGGGTTTCAGAAGCCGGGGCAGGGTTTAGGGTCATGTGACCGCTGTGACACGCTGGTCACATGATCAGGAAACGTCTCGATTGAAAGAGGAGATCGGGACCTTTCCGTGAGTACCGGATGTGTGTGCTGGAAGCGCGCATGCCACGCGCTCAGCACATATGTTTTCTTTTAACAGAACGCAAATGTGCGGCCGCTCGGCATCTAGGCCCAGGCGCTGGGAGGCCGCACATTTGCGTTCGGCCGCGCCCAATAGGTTGAACTGAATACAGACTGACTGCTCTCAATGTCGTTATGGTAAACTTTGCATCTATGTTACTGCTGTTTCACATTATTGTGATGTTTATTTAGTTTTTAAGTCTCTTATCTAAATGATGGACTTATCTCAATCTTTACAACCCTGCCCTCAGTTTAATTTTGCTGTGAAAAGTTCCCTCTGCTAGATGTGTGCCTATTATTAACTCCTGATTGATTAACTGGCAAATTCCATCCACACCCAGCACAGTATAAAGTTAGACTACCTTTATAGGGAACACATGCTAGGGTGTCACATGTTGGGGTTCTTCCAATAAATTGGGGTTCGGTAATGAAGTGGCACTTCTGCTCTTGCACAAAGCGATAATCTACAGCAAACTACTTTGCAACACACCAGACTGCAGATAACCTCGTTTCCCCATTCAGTTCTCCTTCCTCTCTGTAACATGCTCTCTCTACCCCTCCTTTTCACATTTAAGTCTTCTCCTTAAACTCTGTTTCCTTCACCCCTCTTCTGCACCTCACAATCTGTATAGATCACCCTCACTTCTGTCCTCTCCTTATCAACCTCCGCAAAGTCTGCCAAATTCGCCCCTTCCTAACCACTGACACCACAAAGCGCCTAGTCCAGGGGTGGGCAACTGTGGCCCTCCAGCTGTTGGTGAACTACAAGTCTCATCATGCCTCTGCCTTTGGGAGTCATGCTTCTGTCAGTTTTGGAATGCCTCATGGGACTTGTAGTTCTACAACAGCTGGAGGGCCACAGTTGCCCACCCCTGGCCTAGTCCACTCCTTGGTCATCTCTCCCCTAGACTCCTGCAACTCCTTCCTCACTGGCTTTACCTTTTCATAGGCTATCCCCCCTTCAGTCCATCATGAATGCTGCTGCCACTCATCCACCTTACCAACCAATCAGTGTCTGCCAACCCTCTGCCAATCCCTGCATTGGCTGCCGCTCACCCAACAAATTATATTTAAAATACGAATACCAACGCGGCTCCCAGCTACATCAATAATATGTCTCAAAATACCATCCAAATCACTCTTTTCGTTCCTCCCAAGACCGCCTGTTCCCTAGTTCTCGTCACCTCCTCCCATCCTCACCTCTAGGACTTCTCTTAAGCCTGTCCCATCCTCTGGAACTCCCTACCCCAATCTGTCTATCTCCTACACTGTACACTTTTAGGCGCTTTCTGAAAACTTTTCTCTTCGGGGAAGCCTATCCTGCCTCTGCCTGACAACTGTACCTTTATTTTCTTCTTCATTAGTTCTTTCTTCCAGTTATTACCTTTTGTACCACTTGACCCTCCCTTTTAGATTGTAAGCTCTACTGAGCAGGGCCTTCTGATTCCTCCTGTATTGAATTGTATTGTAACTGTACTGTTTGCCCTCACGTTGTAAAGCGCTGCGCAGCAAGAGTCCCATTAACACCAGGTGGCTCTGAGAACGCAAAAATTCACTACTGGGTAGGCCGATCTAAAAGGTATTTTCTGTTTTTATCAATCAATGCATATTTTTTTTAACCGGAAAAAAACTGCGCTACTCCCCAGACAATACAACATGTGAAAAAAATGTGTGAAAACATATATATTCTGAAACAATAGTGAAACAATTAGTTAACTGCTGCTACTCTTTCCCTGAACACCTGAAAATACAAAACATATAAAAAAATTAGTGCGCTGTACACAAAATAAATCATGAACCATAATAAATCAAATAAATGCTGCTACATAAAAAATGTGCATAATTTAATTGAAATTGTATAAGTCCACATTCATATATTAAATAATTAAAAGTCCCAAAATCCAATAACACAGTGCTGTGTGCTAAAGAAATCCTCCAACGGAAAGTGCACAGGTGTCTACAAATGCTTGATACAAAAGAAAAAAAATCAGCCTCTTACCAGACACTTTGATCTCCAATCAAGAGATCAAATGAGCTGATGGTGTTCAGATCCCACACTGAAACCCTAGTTAGCCGTATCAAGGAGATGAATAAACAACTACAGGTTCACTTGAACGAATCCATCACATCAGACGGCTCTCCACATCATGCAAGGAAAGGTTTAAAACAGAAGAAGAAAACTTCATAGTGTGACCCGATAAACCAGCAAAAAATGTATTAAAGTATTGCACTTACATAGATAAGGTGCATAAAGTCAGTGTAAACATTTAAAATTCCCGCGGTGTCAGACCACCAGCCAGAACAAGGTGACGTCACAGAAAGCTCCACCCGACTTTCTCCTAAAATGGCGTCCTCTGGGATTGGAGAACAGGGGACGCAATTTTTGGCATCAACTTGCTGTCGTCCATTCATCTCCTTGATATGGCTAACTAGGGTGTCAGCGTGAGATCCGAACACCATCTGCACGTGTGATCTCTTGATTGGAGATAAAAGTGTCTGGTAAGAGGCTGATTTTTTTTCTTTTGTGTCAAGCATTTGTGGACACCTGTGCACTTTCCGTTGGAGGATTTCTTTAGCACACAGCACTCAAACGAGCAGATGGTGTTCGGATCTCATGCTGACACCCTAGTTAGCCATATCAAGGAGACGAATGGAAGATGAATGGACGACAGCAAGTCCTCTGTTCTCCAACCCCAGAGTATGCCATTTTTGGAGAAAAGCAAGTCGGGTGGAGCTTTCTGTGACGTCACCTTGTTCTGGCTGGTGGTCTGACACCGCGGGAATTTTAAATGTTTACACTGACTTTATGCACCTTATCTATGTAAGTGCAATACTTTAGTAAATTTTTTGATGGTTTATCGGGTCGCACTATGAAGTTTTCTTCTTCTGTTTTAAACCTTTCCTTGCATGATGTGGAGAGCCGTCTGATGTGATGGATTCGTTCAAGTGAACCTGTAGTTGTTTATTCATCTCCTTAACTAGGGTGTCAGTGTGGGATCTGAACATCATCAGCTCATTTGATGTCTTGATTGGAGATCAAAGTGTCTGGTAAGAGGCTGATTTTTTTTTCTTTTGTGTCAAGCATTTGTGGATACCTATCACTTTCCGTTGGAGGATTTCTTTAGCACACAGCACCGTGTTATTGGATTTTGGGACTTTTAATTATTAAATATATGAATGTGGACTTATACCATTTCAACTAATTTATGCACATTTTGTTGTAACAGTATTTGACTGATTGTTCATGATTTTTTTAGTGTACAGCGCACTCATTTTTTATATATTTTTTTAACCACATTACTGAATTTCCTGAAGATAAAAGTCTACAATTCAATGTAGATTCCAGGCAATATGGAATGTTCCTTTTAAGGCAGCAATGGAGTATTTTCCTGTATCTGGTACATTCACAGAGCCTGTGATAAGGTACCACTTATAAACACACTGTGCTGCACCAGCCAGCTCTCAGTGGTGGAATCACGCCTCATTACTTCCCAGCTCATTTACACACCAGATGCTTCACATCAATGGCTCAGGGGGTCTTGGGAAAGAGACAGTGGGAAGGCTCAGGTGACTCCCACAAACACCAGGAGATGAACAGTCATGGCGGGGGCATGCTTGCGATTTACACACGGACATATATTATCATGATCTGCTCTTTGCAGACGCTGGTGCATGAAGAGAAGCCAGTCGGCAGTTCCAGGTTACTGACATCCAGTCATGGAACAAAGGGACTGTGAGTTCTCAGAGCAAACATATTTCATAGCCAGTGCAGTGTACTGTACCTGAGAGCATTAAGGAGACCTTCTACACTGTTGGGGGGCTGTTCCTTGAGAACCTTGATGCAGCCTTTCATCTGGAACACAAGGCAAACAAAAAAAAAAAAAAACATTAACCTCTTTACCACGTGTACATTATAGGTTTTACTGATAAACTGGTTCATATTACAGCAACTTAAAGCAGGGGCGGACTGACAACTCACGGGGCCCCCGGGCAATAGGGGGATCATGGGGCCCGTGTCCTTGCCCAAACTCAAAAATGCCTATGAGAAAGGTACCAGGGACATCTCATGGGGCCCCCTACTGACCCCGGGCCCTCAAGCAGTGCCCAAGTTTCCAAATGGTCGGTCGGCCCCTGACTTATAGTAAGGTAGGGATCCCAAGTTCAATACCAACCAACAACTCTATCTGCGTGGCATTTGTATGTTTGGGCTGGGTTTCTCTACGGGTAATACAAAAAATGCATTGAGACATTACAGCCGGACCTCTTCTAAGTGGGAAAGGATTTGGGGAGGACAGAATATTATTTAAAAACTTATGAAAAAAGACTATTTGGAAGCTGGAACACTTGACTTTTTAAAATACAGACAGCAGAAGTTTTCAACTACCTGACCTCATGCTTATGACAAGCTGTTGCTCTACTATTCTTTGTGTGTAACATTATCAAAAAATGATGCCCTGTAGTTCACATTACTCCAAACTGCTTACTGGATACTGAGATGGACACTCAGGAGTTAGTTGGCAGAGTATGCCATCAGCAAGACGTCAGTAACTGGGCATCTTTGGAGGTAATCTAAAATCCTCTAAAATGCGACACTAGCGTTAAGTCTTCGCAAGTTTATGTTGAGGAACATTATTCTGAAATATTTTGGCAATTTGTAAACGCAGCTTTTCACTGATTGGTATATATCTGCCCCTCTTTATTTCTTAGACAATCTGACTCTCTAAGATGCCCTTTTTATATCAAATCATGTAGCTGACATGTTGCCAATTAACCTAATTAGTTGCAAAGCATTCTTTCAGTTCTTCCTTGTCAATACCACTTACTTTGCCAGCTTTGTATTGCCCTGTCAACACATTTTTTTTGGAGATATGCTGCTGCCATCAATTTCAAACTTTATTTTCTCAAAATGGTACACTTTCTCAGTTTAAAAATGTGATATTTTCTATTGCGAATAAAATATGGGTTTATGAGATTTTCAAATCATTGCATTCTGTTTTAATGTAGATTTTAAACAGTGTGCATACTAATTTTGAAATGGAGTCGTAAAAAAAACATCCAATGCATTTCGGGGGTCAGAAAAAAGTTTCTCTCTAACCCCAGAAACATGTTGACCTTTTTTTTGGTATAAACTAATAAATTAATTTGGACTGTTATCCCTTGGTCTGATGCTCCTTCCATTAGTGCATGTTTAGACCTCCTACTCTCTAGCTCCCTTGTCTCCTCCTCCCATGCTCATCATCCTCTGGAACTCTCTACCTCAACTTATCAGACTATTGCCTAGTCTGCTCACTTTTAGGCGATCTCTGAGAACCTATCTCTTCAGGGAAGCCTATCCTGCCCTCCGCTAATACTGGAATCTTCTACTCTTCCAACCAGTCCTTCCCCCACAGTTACTACCTTTTGTCTGATGCTCCTTCCATTAGTGCATGTTTAGACCTCCTACTCTCTAGCTCCCTTGTCTCCTCCTCCCATGCTCATCTCCAGAGCTTCCCCCCCATCCTCTGGAACTCTCTACCCCAACTTATCAGACTATCGCCTACTCTGCTCACTTTTAGGCGATCTCTGAGAACCTATCTCTTCAGGGAAGCCTATCCTGCCCTCAGCTAATACTGGAATCTTCTACTCTTCCAACCAGTCCATCCCCCACAGTTACTACCATTTGTACCACTAGACCCTCCCTCTTAGATTGTAAGCTCCCAGGATCAGGGCCCTCCTATCCCTCTTGCATTGAACTGTACTGTTGCTGTATTGTCTCCCGTTATATTGTAAAGCGCTGAGCAAACTGTTGGCGCTATATAAATCCTGTATAATAATAATGTTTATGACTGGTAACTAGCTGCTGAGTGTAATGGGGAGAGAAACCCTGAGCATTGCAAGCTGGAAGAAAGTGGAAAATGTCAGATGTTCCCCCATACCCAGAAGTACCGGTTACTCTGAGCGCTCCAAGTGACAGAGTGCAAGGTTCAACTAAGCTATGAGTAAACAGGAATGTCAGATTACTGTTTTTTGAATGGGAAAAGCAATAGGTTTCTCTAAAGAAAACACAAACTTGAGTAGTTATCATAGCTGTTCACTCAACAAATCGTTTATAAAGACAGCAGTAACTTTAAGGAAATGCTGTTTTCAGACCGTCAGAGCTGTAAAGTAAATATTTGATGCATTCAAATTGACAAGGTAAGAAAAAGCAAGGATCCAACTGGTCAGGCAGCAGATGGACATAGGAGTGATAAAAAGCAAGGTGTGATACGACTTTTGATCAGGTACCCGAACGCCATCCTCGAAAACTGCTGCCCCAGCTCCCACGACAGAAAACCTATATCCAGCTCAGCGTTTCCTAAAAGGCCTTTTAGCCATCGTCACTGTGCGGCCACCGCAAGCCTGGAGCCTAAAAAGTGCACTCTGTTTAGTCATTAAAGCTGCTTAGTCTGTCATTTTATATCAGGTTTCTCCATGCTCGAAAAAATTCTTTCAAACTTTCCTGCTGACTGAGTGTTTGGCTAATGGAAGCGGCGGACGGGACGGCTGGTGCTAATGCACTTCCCGAGAAGGCTCTCTAGTGTTTAATATTCTGCAAGAACAAACTTACATCGATCTTTGATGTTTTGGCAAGGCTCCCACGGGATGAACGTGGTCGTAGAGGATGATCACTCCCACCATCACTCTCAGGCAGAAGGATACTGTCTCTTCGTTTGTAAACCGACTCCTGTACTCCCTGCAATCAGAATATTAAAAAATGCTTGTATATTAAAAGTTATATGTAATCAATGGAAAGTTCCCTAAGCCACTGGAGGGACTAGGACAGTGGTTCTCAACCTGTGTGTCGCGACCCCTTTGGGGGTCGAACGACCCTTTTACAGGGGTCGCCTAAGACCATTGGAAAACACATATTTCTGATATGTAAAGAGCAGCTACTGTGTAGAAAGCAGCTGCTGTGTTGAAAGCAGCTACTCTGTTAAAAGCAGCTACTGTGCTGAAAGGAGGTAAAACGACACTCATGAATTATAATTACTGGGTAAATAATTTTATGGTTGGGGGTCACCACAACATGAGGAACTGTATTAAAGGGTCACGGCATTAGGAAGCTTGAGAACCACTGGACTAGGGGAAAACTGCGGCAGGTGTAGAGTGCACAGTCCTGCAGCAGAATCCCAAACATGGCTAAATGCTAGGCCATTATAAAAGGCAAAGCTTTAGCATTTGTTAATGGAACTGAAGACTGCCTTCCCCTCCTGCCTCCTATTACCCTGTGAGGATAGTCATTATAGTTATGGGTTAATATGTGGGGGTGGGGCTTATGTGGGAGCTACCACACTCCTTGTCACAGTTTTGTCCATCAGAAAGGCCTGTGAAGGCAGAATCTGCTGAAGGTATGTGCACCTCTAGCTGCCTGCACTTCATAGACAACAGTCTGCAACCCTTCCTCCCAATGGCATAATCATGGGAGGCATATAATGATGCTGATTTCCCAGTCTTTACAGGGTTCAAGTTCGGTCTGAATTTTATGAACATTTTCCAATATTCTCTTTTTTCCAGTCTAAGCAGGGCTGTCACAGTGCCCAGAACAAAACAGAGCAGATTCACACCACAGTGCTTTGAAGTTCAGTAGCATACAGGGGTTTGGACAAAATTATGGAAACACCGGATAAAAGAACAAAATTGTTATCGAATATGGTGTTGAACCGCCTTTGGCATCCAAGATGGCCGGAATTCTCCTGGGAAGTGACAAGTATAAGTCTTGGATGGTGGATAATGGAATCTGATTCCACTCTTGATGCAAAAATCGTTATCGCAGAGATGCTGGAGTTGGAAAGTGAGCCTTGAACATTATTCTTCAACATTGACCATAGTGACTCTATGATATTGAGGTTTGGTGACTGGGATGCCCAGGGAAGGTGCGAGACTTTGTCTGCATGCTCATCAAACCATGATTTGTCAACACCAGATGCGTGAATCGGAGCATTCTCATCTTGGTGTAAATGGCGCTGTCTTCAAGAAACGACACCTGCACCATGGGGTGCACATGGTCAGCCAAAATTTGTACATAGTAGCTGGCAGTGACTCTAACCTTAAAAGGTGATGATGGGGCCTGCAAAATATCAAGATTTGGCTGGACAAACCATGATTGGACTGCCGCCATGCTTTACCGTTGGCACAAGACAGTCCTGGTCATAAGTTGGACAATGTTCGCCACACATAAACATGACCAGTGGTTGGGAACAGTGCACACTCGATTCATGGGACCATATTACAGTCCTCCATTGATCGATAGTCCACGATTTATGGGTGTTGCACCACTCTCTCCTCTTGTGAGAATTAATATTGCTCACTAGTGGTTTGGCAATTGCAGCTCGTCCGTGAATGTTTTGCTTATGAAGTTCCCTCTTTGGAAGCTTTGGAAGACTGAGATTGAGCTCTGCAGTCACCTTTGCAGCAGTTGTTTTTCTTATTATGGGCCACAATCCTGCGCAATGTCCTTTTGTTTCTTTCGGTCAGCTGACTATGTAAACCACGCTTCTGCTTATCAGACGATATTTTTCCCGAAAAATAATCTTTGATACTGAACCTCGCGACACGGCAAATAAATTGGCAACTTCAGTCACAGAGGAACCAGCTAAGCGACATGAACAATCTGCCCTCTTTGAAGCTCAGTAAGCTCTGACATGACTCCCTATTACTAGCAGTGAATGAGGAAAGTGAGGCTTCCCACCTGTTAGCTAGGTGTGTCATCAGACAGCAGAAGCAAAAGCATGTCACATCACTTCTGCTTTCAACGCAGAGTTGTCACTTTCACACCTGCAAATAATGTAGAATTTCCATATTTTTGTCCATTAAATCTACTGTGAACAGGCAGCAAGAGCAGGCACCGCCACGTACATGTACATTGTGAACCTGCATCTGGGTTTTGGGCCATTACACACCCTGCGCTGTGATTGGCTACAACACAAGTCGGTTGGCCTGTTACAGCCAATGATTTTTGCTGTATACCAGCTGATCAGCTGTGGTCAATCCCAGTACAGTCCTGTGCTTACAGACACAAAGGACTCATACACAGACTGATCTGGCTGTTTCTTCTCCCTGAAATGCAGTGAGAAAAAACAGCTAGATCTGTGAGTAAAAGCAGAACATATTATACACATTACACTTGGTAGGCACACAGTTAACCCCTTGATTGCCCTTTGATGTTACCCCTTTTACAGCCAGTTACAGTAGTACAGTATACAGTATCTGATCACTGTATTAGTGTCACTAGCGACGTCAGTGTCAGTCAGTCAGTGTACCTCCCAGCAAGGTTCAGTGCCAGATTGCCCACCACATTATCACAATCCCACTATAGGTCGCTGATCACCACCATTACTAGTATAGTGTCATAACTGCATAAATTCCAGTATATATGCCAAAGTTTGTAGACGCTATAACTTTCAAACAAACCAATTAATATACACTTACTGGGATTTATTTTTTTTTCTTTTACTAAAGACATGTAGCAGAATACATTTTGCCATACATTTATGAAGAAATTAGATTTTGTAATCGGATATGTTTCATAACAGAAAGTAGAAAATATTAGGTTACTTCACAATTTTCTTTACATAATAAAAAAAAAACCCAGTGCTGATCAAATACCATCAAAAGAAAGCTCTATTTGTGTGAAAAAAATGATAAAATATTCATTTGGGTACCATGTTGCATGACCACGCAATTGGCAGTTAAGTAAGCACAGTGCTGAATAGCAAAAAATGTCCTGGTCATGAATGGAGGTAGTAAACCATCTGGAGGTTAAGTGGTTAAAGCAACAGCTTTCTGCCCAAAAAATAAAATAAATTGTTAGTCAATCCCATAAACAGTGTGTCGGAGTCATGTGCTTTTACCCACAATCATAAATAAAGATGTTTTCACATGGGCATTGCATGTTTGAAGCAAAGACGGCTGCAAAGCACACAGACAAGTTTCTGAGTATTCAGATCCATTCAAGATGTTGTAAAACAAACAAAACTCTTGCAAGCCCAATTATGAGTACAGTCTTAGTTTAGTAAATAAAAAAAAAAAACAAAAAAACAAAAAAAAAAACCCTGAAATCCTGCAAATGTGAACAACTAAAATCCTAGCATGCACTGCAAGCCGAACTTGATGATAGATCATTATACAAATGAGTACTTACGGAGTTTCCAGCATTACTCGGCATACGCTGGCCATGGTACTTAAACAATCAGTGGTATTCTCTATAGGTAAATTCTTGTTCTGTAGAAGACACAGAGGTAAAGAATATTATAAAAGCATCAAATACACGGTTTATATAGCGCTTTGAAGGTTTCACTAAACCAGCAGCAGAGGAACTGACAGTGTGAGCTTGACACAGATAAAAACATTGTAAAGTTGGATGTAATCCCATATTGAAGGTTAGGTATGCATTTTTTAAGACTGATACATAATTAGACATAAAACAACGACATACAACACTGTTTAGACACTGGCAGAATTATCTGATCCTTGGTAGAGCTTTAGAAAGGGAAAAAAAAGAACTTGGTCATTAAACTTTTCCAACCAGGATTCAGTGGTAATGGGTACCTGGCAAAGTTGTCATAGAGGCTGCAACTAGAGCTGAATTTGGCCAGTGATCAACTAAGGTCTAGGAGTACCTTAAACAGAACCACGGTTTTCACTGTATATATAACTTTACTTGTAATGTTAGTATTAGACATTAAGATTACCCCATGAACTGGGGATCCAGATGCCTCGATCCATCTTCCAGGTTCTGGGATGCAGCACTGCTTCTGAGCACTAAGTATGATTGTCGTGCACCATCAGTTAATGCCATTTTCCTATCCTATCAGAAGTCAGGACCCAAGGTCAGATGACAGCAGCTGATATCAAAGGAGGCAGAGGTGCACCATAAGAGGGAAGATACTGACTTCCAGCCCAAAGATGGAATTATACTGCTGTCCTCTCTTATCAAACCATTTCTTTATGGTGTTGGCTTTGTGGAAAAGAAAAGGGCCTTCCCCAAAATACTGCCACTAGGTGTGGAAGCACACAATTCACTAAAATGTCTTTGTATGCTATTTTTTGTCCATAGAGATTGCACGGCTATGTGCTTTATTGTATGCACCTGATTTTGGAATGAGATGCCCAACAAGCTCATATAGGTGTGATGGGTAGATGTTCACAAACCTTTGGCCACATAGGGGGTTATTGACTAAAACTGCATGGTGTGAAATCTGATGAAGCTCTGCATAGAAACCAATCAGCTTCCAGGTTTTATTGTCAAACTTAAGTGAACAGAGGCTGAATATAGAAACCCATAAAGAAAGGTGCAGCACTAATACAAGTGACAAATGTGTGAACGTTATTAAACCAGCAACAGACCACTTACAAAGATGCAATGGTCCGGTGGCCATCTTTGCGAGTGGTCTACTGCTTGTTTAATGTCTTATGCTCCACATTTATTTATTTCAGGTACCTATATAGCGCCGTCAATTTACGCAAAGCTTTACATATACAGTATATTGTACATTCACATCAGTCCCTAACCCTCAAGGGGCGTACAATCTAAGCTCCCTAACTTACATTCATACATACACATACTAGGGACAATTTAGACAGGATCCAATTCACCTACCAGCATGTCTTTGGAGTGCGGGAGGAATGTAGACTACCAGGAGGAAACCCATGCAGGCACAGGGAGAACATGCAAACTCCAGGCAGGTGGTGCCGTGGCTGGTTACATATATGACCTCCTTATACCCTCAAAAAGTCAATACTTTCCACCCTAGAAAGTGTTAAATATATACAAAAAACCTTTTTGGTGATGCAATAAATCCCACATTAAATTCCGTGCCGTGGCTGGGATTCGAACCAACGACCCTAGTACTGCCAGGCGGAAGTGCTAACCATTTAGCCACTGTGCTGCCCACATGGTTGCAATAACTTTTAATAAAAATATACTACACTATATTATGCTGTCTTCGGGCTCTATATGTGAGCTCCTCCCTTAGGAGGCGCTTCATATCACCAGTCAAAGGTGAAGCGGACAGATATATTCCTAAAAGTCATTTCCATTCAATGCTGGCTTGCTTTTTGCTTCTGGTGAGTGAATAGTGGTGGAGAAGTATCACAGAAGTCACCGCTATTAATGGTCACTATCGGTTCACACAACACGTTGGACAATTTTATTTTTGGTCATCATTGGCATACAAGAATTCTTTCTTTTTCTTTGGGACACTATAATATTGTTTGATAGTGAATTATATTCAAATATTTTCTATTTGACTTTTTCAATATGATGTACATTCCATTCCTGGTCATTATTCATACATAGATTAGTTTTGGCACACTGCAATACTGCATGGTAGTGTATAACGTTCACACATTGGTCACTTGTATTAGCACTGCACCTTTGTTTATGTGTTTGTACACTGGAGGCAGGAGGTTTTGCCACATTGTGCTAGCTGCTTTTATATTCCTTTGCGTTCACTGTCCATATTTATATATAGAATATATTTATATAGAAGCCAATTGGCTACCAAGCAGAGATGCTCCAGATTTTGAGTGCTCCAGTTTTAATAACTCTCCCCATAGTGTATACCACACACCTCCAGGAGCTGGCACACATTCTCAGTTCTCCTCTGCAACATTTTGGGGAGTCTCAGTGCTAGAACATGCAAATTCCTCCTAGCTGCTTCCTATAAGGAAGCTAGCACTTTAGCTTACCCATCGCCACATCTCACCATTAATTGATAAATTAGTTGGCAAAACCTTGTAACAAAGCTAGAGAATATGTAGTGAGAGAACAGAAAATCAGATCCATGGAGGAGCAGAAATGTAGTTTTGGAAAGTATTAGAGTATAAGGTCAGAGGTTTAGGTGGTGAATGAATTGTGGAGTATTTTGAATGAGAGACAGATATGCTATATGCAGGGGTGGACTGACAACTCATGGGGCCCCCAGGCAATAAGGGATCATGGGGCCCCTGTGTCCTTGCCCAAACTCAAAAAAGCCTATGAGAAAGGTACCAGGGGCATCTCATGGAGCCCCTTACTGACCCCGGGCCCTCGGGCAGTGCCCGAGTTTCCAAATGGTCAGTCCGCCCCTGGCTATATGGCCATATGATTGAGTTCAGGCATTTCCAGTGGGGGACACTGTTATTACTAAAGCACACAAAGACGTTTTACACAATTGTTTGCTTCCAAAGATTGCAGCAAAAGTTTGGGGCAGGTCCCTTTTCTGTTCCAGCATGACTGTGCCCCTGTGCATAAATCCAGGTCCATACAGACAATTGGGGTTTACTAAAACCAGAGAGTGCAAAATCTGGTGCAGCTCTGCACAGAAACCAATCAGCTTCCAGGTTTTATTGTCAAAGCTTATTTGAACCAGCTAAAGTGAGAAGCTGATTGGCTGCCATGCACAGCTGCACCAAATTCTGAGTGCTCCAGTTTGAGTAAATCAACCCCAAAATTTGGTCTGGAGGAACTCAAGTGGCCATACAGGGCACTGACCTCAACCCTACTAAACACCTTTTAGGTTTAATTGGAATGCTGACTGCAAGCCAGATCTTCTTCAATATCAGTACCTGACCTCACAAATGCTCCTTTGGCTGATTGGGCACATATTTCCACAGACATTCTCCAAAGTCTTGTGGGAAGCCTTCCCAGAGGAGTGGATGCTGTTATAGCTGCAAAGGAGGGGGGGGGGGGGCAACTTTCTAATTATAGCCATGGTTTTGGAATGGGATGTCCAACAAAATCATATAGCTGTATGGTCAGGTTTACACACAAAATTTTAGCCATATAGTGTAATTTATGGATCCAGTGATGGAACAAGCAGAGAGGGGCAACATATGAGAATAAAAAATGTAGTCCTTCAGGAGCAACATAAATACAAAGAAGTTTTGTTATTGGAATACCAGACATTAGATGGTTTCAGATATACAAATAGCATATGGTGCAAACCTATAGTAAAAACAGTGTGCGATACAAAGAATTAACATTAGAACAATGTTAAGTCCATATAGTCCATATCATAGGAAGTTCATACACATTGCTAAAGTCCATAAAAGCGCCTAAAGGCAGCTCCACCTGGAGACTGGAATGTATCTCTGCAGAAATGAAAAGGAACACAAGGAGGTGCCTCCAAGTGCAGCATTAAAAGATAGTTTAAAGAATCATAAAATGTAGCACTCACATTTGTGAAGAGTTAAAAGTTAAATGTATTCTGGTTTAAACCCATGGCCCGCCTGCGTAACGGGATGCTACATGTAATGTCTATGTTCGGACTGTGATGATCCGTTTTTGTATGTACACTGTATACCCTGCTTTTCTTCTAATAAAATATTTTTGAAAGAAAAAAAAAAAAAAGTTAAAAGCGGAGTTCCACCTGAAAAAAAATAAAAAAAGTCAGCAGCAACAAAAACTGTAGCTGCTGACTTTCAAAATACAGACACTCACCTGTCCCTCGGTCCAGCGGTGTCCTCACCACGGCTGGTTTCACCGGCCATCTTCTCTCCCCGACACCTTCAGTGTGGGCACCCGACTGTGACAGCTTGCGGCTTCACAGCCAGGTGCCCACTGCGCATGCTCGAGAAGCGCTGCTCTTTGTGAATGATCCCGTAGTCTTCTGGGACCTGTCACGTGTCCCAGAAGACTACAGGGAGGGAGGGGGGAGGGCAGCTTCCGCTTCCAATCACTTAGGCAGTCGCAGTGGAAGTGGGAGCGGGTACCTGTCAAAGTGCAGTGGAAGTGGGAGCGGGACAAAGGCTTAAAGCGGAACTTCCCCTTTTGGGTGGAGCTCCGCTTTAAACTCTTCACAAATGTGAGTGTTCCTTTTTCATTAGATGGTTTCAGTAGTCAACATGAGAAATTCTGTGGGCATTGACTGGTCTTTTGGTGAACCTTTGAATGAGGAAGGGGTATATTTGGCAAAGGGTGTGCAAGTGAAAGCTATTAGACTCAAGCTCACCATTCCCCTCACAAATGGACCACACAATCAACTTTAGATTTATCGCAATTGTAATATGAGGATCTTCCTAAACTATCCAGTCAAGTAGGCCCTTACACTACGTAGTTGTTGGCGGACCTAAAGGAGTTTATAACATGTATGGTGAGCTTTAAAGATGTTTCAAATGAAAGAAAAGAAAGCATCAAGGCAGTGATTTTGTGTGGTAGGTTTAAAGAAAGCGCAGAGATATCAGGGAATAAAGAGAAAACAATAATTAGATGATGTTTGTCCAGGTTAAAGCGGTTGTAAAGGCTGAAGGTTTTTTACCTATATGCATTATCTGCATGAAGGTAAAAAAAACGTATTTGTGCAGCATCCCCCCCGCTAATACTTAAGCCGCCTCTCGATCCTGCGATGTGCACTGGAGTCTCGGCTATCCCGGGACTCTCTCCTCTCATTGGTTGAGACAGCAGCAGGAGCCAATGGCAGTGTCAATCACAGCAAGTGAACCATTGAGAAGAGAGAGGGGGTGCGGCAAAGCCGCGGCTGTGTGTGTAAATGGACACAGAGCAGCGGCTGGGGAGTGCGCATGCTCGAGTGGCCCCATAGCAAGCTGCTTTCTGTGGGGGCACCCAAAAGGAGGGAGGGGCCAGGAGTGCTGGTGGGGGACCTGAGAAGAGGAGGATCCAGGCTGCACTATGCATAATCATTACACAGAGCAGGTATGTATAAACATGTTTGTATTTGTTTTTTTAATTTAAGCCTTTAGAATCACTTTAAGTTTTAGGTACCTCGCTGACATCCATGAACAGATGGTAGAACAGCTGGAGATACCTCAACCACTCTGTTAATAAAAACAAGACATGATTCTGTGGCTGTCATTTGGTGCATCTCATATTATTTGTGTAATATTTGATAAAAACTTTTGAGAAAAATATATGGGGGTTGAGACAGGGACACCTATGGCAGGCTCACAGTGCAGTTTTGTTACTGATTGCTTATGAACAGACAGACCTCATTCTCACTTACCTCTGATACAAACTTTGTTGTGGCATCACTTAATGTTTTCAGCATGGGCGTCGCCTCTGCGTAGAATAATGACATTCTATTGGCCAGTTCGTTATTCACTTCATTTTCTCCCTCTGCCTTTAAAGACATTTTATGTTAGCATTAACAGTTTTGAGCTAGGGCAACATGTTAAACGCTGCTTTAATAGGCCTACGCCTGCTTCACACCTATGCAGTTTGCTTTTAATCCATTTCTGCAGTGGTCTTTGCCCACGCGGTTTTACTTTTTTATGGGTTTTGCATTTATATATATTTTTTCTTATTAAAGGGTAGATGTTTTTGTTGTTGGGCAGATCAAAAAGCATCAAAATAGGCCTTTCCGCAGCATATCCATTGAAGTCTATGGAACCAAAAAATGCACCGTACTGCGCTTAAAAAAGTTTCTGAAAAACGCATAGATGTGAATGTGTCCCACAGGAGACCATGTTAAATAGACCATTGTGTTTCTGAAAAAAAGCAAAATGCACTAAAAAAGCATAGGTGTGAACCAGGCCGTAGTCACTTTCACACATTGTTAAAAATGTTTATATATTTTTTAATTATTTAAAGGAACTATTATGGAGTTAAAAATACGAGCGTAAGCTAAGCCTGCAATGTTAAGCCACCAAACTCCACTGACATTTAAAGATAGTCTTGCTGAAAAAAACATTCATTCAACACTCCTGAATGCCTGTGTCCCCATGCTGAAATTGGTGGTTCATTATGCAGACCCACTTCTTACCCCAAAATTCAGGAAGTGCTATAAGGGCAGGTGGAAAGAACCACAGAGAACAACTGGGGACATGCTATCTGACACACCTGAACCATGCAGGATAGTAGAGTCTTCAACAAGTTTGGGATTCAAAGGCGCATGTGGTGGGATAAGTATAAGTATTCACAATTTTTTTTTGCAGGCACTTACAGTGTTCATTTTTTTTTTTTTTTTTAACATAGGGAGAGTCACTTTAAATAAAATGGCTTCAACCAAGGCTTCATTCTGATTAAAAAAATAGATACTAAAAAAGACCACACAGTGCAAGGGCAGCCTATGAGGTAGGTAAGAGCATTTTAAAATCTTTTCAAAGGGCCCATGACAAGACCTGCCTGCTCTCTCTACAAAATAGTGCACCTAACTGAAGAGAACTTATCAAGATCCGGGGATCCAGGGCTCAATTCATAAAACGTTATTGACCGCTTTAAGATCAGCAGTAAGAGAGCTTTTCGACATTTTTTTTTGCAGTTCACTAAACAATGTTACTGAAATACCGCATGCACATTATACCCCTTGTGTCCTTTACTGAATGGGTAGGCTGCCATCCCCCTCATGCCCCAAATGCATGAGAGCGGATGGTACATTTTACCATATGGTATGGGACTGCCTGGTCATATGCTCCTTTTGGTCTGCCTCTACAAGATTTATTGGGTCCGTACGCCAACTGCACAACATTTGAAACCCTTCCCGGGGTCTATTGGGATAATTAGATGATGACACCCTCACCAATTGCACCAAACTCCTTTTTCGCCTGTTTTTTTTATATGCTAAAAAAATTATAATTATTCAGTGGAAATAATCTGCTCCCACAATAACCCACTGGCTTAGACATATTGACCAGGCTATCCCGAAGTTAACAAATGAGGCCCATGGCCGCCCTGAGAAATTTGAAAATGTTTTGTCCCCCTGGGTGAATACACAAGACACAATACCATCAGACTAAAATGGTCTAGATATCTTTTGTATGTCATGCTATGCAGCTAGGCGCTGCTTGGATTGGCTTGACTCTCCAAGTGTGCCTTGATGTACTGAATGACATATCCTATACAGTAGGAACATTTTGTAATTATGTTGGTAAAAAAATAAAATAAAAATAAAAAAAACAACTTAAAGTGGTTGTAAAGGCTCAAGGTTTTTTACCTTTCATGCTTTCTATGCATGAATGTAAAAAACCTTCCGTTGCAGCAGTGCCCCCAGCCTCATTACTTACCTGACCCTTATCGTGATCCATCGATGTCCATAACAGCCTCGGCTGTCCAGGGTCTCTGCCACTTCACTGGCTAAGACAACAAGAGGGAGCCATTGGCTCCCGCTGCTGTCAGTCAATGAGGAGAGACAGGGGGCAGGGCCAAGCCGTGGCTCTGTGTGTGAATGGACACATGGAGCAGCGGCTTGGGAACAGCCTGCTTGGGTGTCCCTAAAGCAAGCTGCTTGCTATAGGACCCGACAGAAAGGAGGAGCCAGGAGCACTGAGAAGAGGAGGATCCAGGCTGCACTGTGCAAACCCACTGCTCAAAGCAGGTAAGTATAGACATGTTTGTTATTTTACAAAAAAAAAAAAAAAAAAGAAAAAAAAGAACCATTAGTATTGCTTTAATAAAATCAATAAAAATTTACCTTAACAAAATATATTGAATGCACTATTTCTTCACGACATGTGGTATTTTAGTGTCAGAAAACTCATGGTACTTTACCACCGGCACTCCCTGGCATCTTTAACAACCAGGAAAAAGCTGGCTGTAAAAGTGTTGGCAACCACCGGTATCCTTTGGTACTTGCTTAGACTGACATACAGGAGTCTGAAGTTGTAATTTAAAGAGAACTTGATAAAAAAATAATGTTCTTTATCATGGAACAACATACATTCCACAATATTAATTATGCTACCAAAATTAGTGTGTGCTTTAAATTGTTTCCAACACTATGCTTTCTGCTTTCTGGATGCTGCCATTTTGCTGAAGCCCACAGCAGCAGTAAATCTTTAGGCTGTTAGCAGATCGGCCTCTACAATTTCAGCACAGTGCCGAAAAATAGAGAGGAACTGAGCATGTGCAGAGCAGTGTGAGACAATGTAGTACTGGATTTTAAACAGTATAGACACTTATTTGTAATGTTTTACATATCTATACCTGCAAAGGGGACCAGCATGAAGTGATCTAGCAGGACCTAATTTTCTGACTTAAGTTCCACTTCAATGTATGAAACACATTTCTAAAAAAATATGGCAACCCCAAACAGTCCCTGCTGTAAGTGCATTGATATCCTGCTTAAACATTTTATAGAAAGAAACAAGATAATTATCTCATGAATACACTCAAGCATTGGATTTTAAGATAAATTTCCATACTGGAACATTGTTAATCCTCATACGACTTAGAGTTCTTCTGTAATAGCTGAAGTCGTTCTGGATGGCCGGATTTGTCATCTAGAAAGAGACATCAGAGCATCATCACAAAGAGCACAGAAGGTTATTAAATTAACAATGGAAAATATGTTGTCACAAATAAAATATTTTTATTTTTTAATTCCTGAGCATTCCAAAACAAAATTGATCGTCTATACTGAATACCAACCCTTATGCAGGGCTGTTTTGGTCTCTAGGTAACATCATGGCCATATATTCTTGAACTTACCTGAGAAGTCTCTTCTCCTTTACACACATCTCCCAGTATGCATAGCCTGCAGTATTTTCTCTTCAGAAAATTACACAAACTAATCACATCAGTCCCTGCTGAGCCCTCACTCTAGAAAAAAAAAAAACTCTGGAAATACATATACTTGAACCAATTCCGATCTCTCCCCTGTATATGCTTCTATGATGCAGAGTAATATTTATATTTCTGCTATGGACGTTTTTATTTCAGCAATAACTGTCATTACATAGTTACATAGTTAGTCTGGCTGAAAAAAGACAAAAGTCCATTCAGTTCAACCATCAAAAAAAAAAAAAAAAAAAAAAAAAAGTTATAATCTCACACCCACAGTTGATCCAGAGGAAGGCAAAAAAAAAAAAAAAACCCAGCAAAGCACGATCCAATTTGCTCCTGCAGGGAAAAAAATTCCTTCCTGATCCCCCGAGAGGCAATCAGATATTCCCTGGATCAACTTTACCTATAAATGTTATATCCAGTTATATTCTGTGTGTTACATAAGATAAAGTAATACATATATTGAAAAGGCAAAACTTTTATTTTCATTTTGGATAGAGTTAGGGTGAGTTATAATCTCTTGTCGGTTTCTTTTTTGTCATCTCTGCCCCAATTGGAGAGATTTTCCTTCACTTCCTGTCCCATAGCCCCAAAAAAATCCCTGGTTGTCAACAGAATTAGCATTCCCGTTGGAAGATTTCCTCTCTATTCCTGTTCTGGGGACATCCAAAAAGTTGAGATTTGCTTTCACACGGCCCAGAGTACCAGTCTCCATCCCCCCACCCACAGTGTGTGAACCTTCCCCACCCCCCCCCCCCCAAGTCTCCCGGGCTCTGCTTGCCCATCTGTGGGCCCGGGACAGGCTCAGTGTGAGTAGGCGGCTAGAGGGGAGGGAGGAGAGCGAATCCTGTCCACTCCCTCCCCTTCTTGTCCTGACCCGGAAGTGACATTTGACATCACTTCCAGGTCCCCATTCACAGATTCCCGGCCATGGAGGCCAGAAAAGAATGAAATGCAGTGCAATGTGCACTGCATTACACTCAGGGGAGTACAGGAGAGACATGCAGGGTTTTTTAAACACTGCATGTCTCAAAGAGAATCTGTGACCAAAAAATCATCAAACGAGACTTTTTGTCCCCTATGTGATGAAAAAAAAAGTTAAGTAGAAAAAACTTTTAACAGTAAAAAAAATCAAAGTTGCACCCAAGCACATAACATCCCCACATAAAAAAAAAATTTGAGGCCCCCCACATATATGCACATGCAAAAAGTAAAAGCACACGCTGGGGCACCTACGCATGAAAACGTAGATTGCGATACACGTTACAAATCACTGCGCACGCCAGAAGGAGAGCAATAATTCTAGCACCAGACCTCCTCCGTAACGCTAAAATGATGACCTATAAGGGGCTTTAAAAGAATTGCATATATAAAATATAGGGTGCTGAAATTTGTCGCCATTTCACGAGCACACACAAATTTAAGGTTTGACATGTTGGATATCTATTTACTCGGTGGAACCGCATCTTTTATATTTTACCAAAAAATAGAGTAATTCATTGCTTTTTTGTGCCCTAAAATTAATTTTTTTTTTAATTTTTTGGTAATTTTGGGTTTCCCAGACCTTTGCAGTAATATCAGTACTGATACTTTGCAGTATCAGTAGTAATATTTTGCCTTCAGAAAATATATGTTTGGGGGTTTTGTGTAATCTTCAAGCCTAAAATGATTTTTTTAAACTTAAAAATGCAAAAATGGCTTTGGCAGCAAAAGGTATAAAGGATGAGCCCGACACGCACCCAATCAGTGCTCACTACACTGCCTCTCTCCTCCCTGCTAGTCCCCGGGTGCAGTGCTGGAGACAGGCAGGGAGGGGAGGAGGGAAAAAACGGCGCAAAGTAAAAAAAATTAAAAGTTTAAGTCGCCATAAAGCTCCTTTTGATTTTAAAAGTCCCAGACATTCCTAACAGCACCTCAGATTTAAATACGGTTTTGGTTAAAATGTATTTTTTTTTTATCAGGAGATTTTCATGAGGGACAAGTAGATTGGGGCACCGGTTTTGTCCCTGGAAAAGCAGTTTTTAAAAAAATGTCCATACCCCTGGGGTTAGTTAGGTAATTAGGTTTATAAACTAACCCAGTGTTTCTCAACCTTTTTTCAGTCAAGGCACCCTTTAAAATTATGGACAGTCCCGAGGCACCCTTTAAAATCATGGACAGTCTGGAGGCACCCCATTCTAAAATGTGAAAAACTATTCTAATAGTTTTATATAACGCAGCAACATCCACACATGTAGGACACCCAACATTAGAGGGGATTTATTCTTCCAAAGCAAATTCACTTTTGCACACTGATACTGACTAGTATTCCAATGTTTTTCTTCTTCCTCAGTTTTTCTCCATCACTGAGCTAATGTCACTCCAGCACTGATGGAGAGGGGCAGGGGAGGGTCAAACTAGGATGCTGTGCAGGAAGCTGACATCTTCCTTATCAACTGATGATGTCATTGGTTGTCAGAAAGCCGGCGGCTAGAAGGTCGTAATGGCTTGTATACAAGTTTTGGGTAATGTTTAGACATTTTGCCAAGGCACCCCTGAAGAAACCTTAAGGCACCCCAGAGTGCCTGGGCACCCTGGTTGAGAAAGGCTGAACTAAACTATGGGTTTAGTTGAAATAGGAAATAATTTAAAAATCTCAATTTCAAGTTTCTCAACGTAAACTAAAAAACATACTGGTGTTTTTTTAGATTGAGGGATTAAGCTGATAGAGCCCAGGAGAAACCGATGCAAACTCAAAGAACGTATTCCTGGTGGGAACCAAAGCCAGGACCCAGTCACTGTTCATGCCATTTTATGGTTCTATCCATTTGCTTGAATTAGTCTTTGGTCACACCAAATCTGACTTTGAAATCATGCAATTTCAAGTGAAGTCTCATGATTTCAAAGTCAGGTGCAACTTCATGCAACTTCATGCACAGATGTCTATGCAAAATGCACTTGAACTTGCAAAACGTAGTGCATGAAGTATTCGGAATCAAACTGATATAACCGCTTCCATTGCAGACAATAGGGTGCAACTTGTTGTGCGATTTGAAACTATAGAGGACACTTGGAATAACACAAAATAAATAACATGAATAGAAACACCTAACAATCTGGCCACAATCACACTATCATCATACCTTAAGCTCATCAAAGCGAAGGGTGAAGTGAAGAATTTCGGCAAACTGTTTGGCAAGAGCCTGCTCTCGCTCCAGGTGCTGTGTTGGGGAATAGGGGGTGCTGGTCAACGCTCCTAACAGTCCACGCAATGCTGCCTCTAAATAGAACAAAAAATAATGGTATAGGTTAATAAAGTAAAATACAAGACAACCAGTGAGGTCATGGCGAGAGGCCAAAGAAGATTTTTACCCCCTTCATGCCCAGGCCTTTTTTCAGCTTTCAGCACTGTCACACTTTGAAAGGCAATTATTCAGTCATGCAACACTGTACCCAAATAATTTTTTTTGCTTTTTTTTTTGTATACAAATAGAGCTTTTTTGGCGATATTTTATCACCACTGGGTTTTTTTGCTATATAAATGAAAAAAGGCTGAAAATACTGAAAATAATACTTAGTTTCTGTTATAAAAATTTGCAAATAAATAATCTCTCTTCATAAATGTAGGCCAAATGTATTCTGCTATATTTCTTTGGTAAAAAAAAAAAACCCCAAACCAGTATACATTTTTTTAGTCTGTGTGAAACTTATGGAACATACTATGGTTGGTGTGTGTGTGTGTGTGTGTGTGTGTGTGTGTACGTGTGCGTGTGTGTACAGTATACTTAAAAATTGATCAGTCCTGGTGTACTGACAGCCTCTCATTTCATGAAACCCTAAAAATGCCAGGAATGTGCAAATACATCCCAAATTACTCCTTTTTGGAAAGTAGACAGTGCCAGGTAAGAAGCATAACAAGTTTTTTGAAGTTGTAATTTTTTTGCCCCAATATTTTGGAAAATGAAGAAATTAAATTAAAAAAATTTCCACAAAGTTAACATTTTAAGTTATTTCTCACACAGGGCATAGTCATACTTACAATTACACACCAAAGCACATTCTGCTAAATGCCTCCCAAGCATGGGGATACCACATGAGACTTTTTCACAGCCAAAATCCAAGGAGAACCTTCAGGAATTCCAGGGGCATAAATTACGCATCCAATTTCTTGACTACCTATCACATTTCTGGAGGCCCTGTAAAACCAGGACAGTGGAAACAGCACAAAATGACCACGCCCCAAGGTGTTTTCTAGGAGGCATAGTGAGTCTTTTGAAGGCTTTATTTTATTAGCCGTAGGTTTTTGTAAAATGTGTAATGACAATTTTTTCAATTAATAAGATATTTCTCACACATAGCATGGGCAGACTTAAACCCAAAACCCTTTCGCCATACTCCTCCTGAGCATGATGATACCACACGTGTAAGGCTATTTCACTGTCTGGGAAACCGGACATTGTATCTTGTGTATCATACAAATCAACCAGTTGTGTCAAAACAAATGTACTGATGGCCTGTGTGTCAGTAATCAGGGAATACAGCCTAATGGCAGAACAGTGGCTAAATGGTTAGCACTTCCGCCTGGCAGTACTAGGGTCATTGGTTCAAATCCCAGCCACGGCACCACCTGCTTGGAGTTTGCATGTTCTCCCTGTGCCTGCGTAGTTTCCTGCCACACTCCAAAGACATACTGGTAGGTTAATTGGATCCTGTCTAAATTGGCCCTAGTATATGTATGAATGTAAGTTAGGGACTTTAGATTCTACACCCCTTGAGGGTTAGGGACTGATGTGAATGTACAATATATATGTAAAGCACTGCGTACATTGACAGCGCTATACAAGTAAATGAAATAAATAAATAAATAATGCAGTATTAGCTATAGAAGTCCCAGTTCCTTTAAGCCAAGCAGGCCTAGACTACTGGTACATGTCTGCCCTCAGGAATGCCATTTTCACTGGCCAGAAACTACAGAAGGCTAAAGAAAGGAAGAACAAAAGAGTTCATGTGGTTCCAGGAGTGAAGATGTCCGCAGGGGATGGCTAGGACTGGTGTCTCGCAGCAACAAAGTCAGTCAGATGTACAAATGGGTCAGTTTAGGAGGCAGACATGGTCAGCAAACAAGCAAAGGATTGGTCCAGGCAGCAGGCAGAAATGTGGTCAATAAACAGGCAACACTGCATTGGTGTGGTAGTGATCAGTAACACTGTTGCTGGTTACACTGGTCTGGTGACATATGTAGTGGCAATCAGGAGCACTGTCACTGGATTACAATCGTCTGGTGATACTGGGGGATAGTGTGGCAGCAATCTGGAATACTGCTGCTGACTTGGCGTAACGATGCTGGGACTGGTCTGGAGACAATCAGGGACACAGTTACTGGCTTAGACTGGTGACTGCGAATGGTGTTGACCAGGAAAATGGTTGCTTGCTGCACTGGTCTAGTGTGGTGGCAATCAGGAATACTACACTGGTCTGGCAACATTGTGGCTGGTGTGGTGGTGACTGGAGAACACATGTCACAGCTGTGATGCTTTGCAGCAGTGGCAAGAATTAAACCCCCCTGTATACCTACCAATGATCCATTTAAGTGAATGTGGGTGCTTGTGTATGGTCCAAGGGGTCAAAATCAGGGTGGTAAGGAGGCAATACAATGTCTTCTCAATTCCTGTTAAATGCTCTCTGAAGAGCCATCTGAACACGGGTGGCTCTTCAGAGTGCAATGCACATGTGAACAAGTCCTTATGGTGACTTTATGACTGGTGTGGCAGTGATCAGGGACACAGAGAGATGACGGTGATTAGGGACACTGCTGGCATCACTGGTCTGGTGACATTGTACTGCTGTGGCGGCGATCAGAGGAAAAGGCTGGCAGCACTGACATACAGTGATATCAGAGCAGCCAGCCAAACAAGTGGAAATCATTGGAGCCTACTTCCTTGACTTCCAGTTCCAGGGTCATGGTCCAAGGTATGATATATACATAGTTATAATGGTCCAAGATGAACCAATTAAACTATGTAAAAATATATCATGCCGGAATTATTTTTTAAACAGCGGCGTGTTACGAATAGCTTCTTGACATATATTGGCTTTCTCCTTTACTGCCTACAGGCCGTACCGCACATGTAAGCTGCCTCCTCAGAGTAAGCACACTCAAAACTACTCTACTAGTGCGTATTGAGATCCAGCGATTCTTTCCTATTTCTCTGGTCTAAAGCCCATGAGCACTTTTATGCTGGTCAATAATCTTACCTGTATATAGAATATTGTCTGTTAGGCCTCTTGCACACTGGAGTCAAACACGCTGGATTTTTTATTGATCTGAATTTAAATGCGTTGTTGTCTATGGAGCAATTCATACAGCTGAGCAAAGATCATTAATACAGCGATGAGTTCAGAGCTCCTAGATTGTAAGCTCCAAGGAGCAGGGCCCTCGATCCCCTCATGTTTTGCATTGTATTGGTATTGTTCTGTCACATGTTCTGTCCCCCTTTGTAATGTACAGCGCTGAGCGAACTATTGGTGCTTATAAATACTGTATAATAATAATAATAATAATAATAATAAAGTGATTGAGCCATTGAGTGCAGCATTGTACTCATCTAGAAGCATGTTTACTCCAGTATAAATAAGTATATTACAACACTGGCAATGAAGAAGAATTTTACTCATCCATACACTTACGCACCTTTACGCACAATTACTCAAGGACTTACACACAGTTTTTCTACTCAGGAAATTTATGTCAACAAGTTTCCGAGTAAACATCAGTAAATTATTACGGCCGTGTGCAAGGGGCCTTATTTGTGTTTGTTACATCCAATCACTGTCCAGTGCTTGCCGCCTCAACCTCCGAAACATCTCTAAGATATTCCCCTTCTTAACCAATGACACCACAAAGCGTCTGGTCATCTCGCGCCTTGACTACTGCAAATTCCTCCTCACTGGCTTATCTTTACATAGACTATCCCCCCTCCAGTCCATCATGAATGCTGCTGCCAGGCTCATCCACCTTACCAACCGTTCGGCGTCTCACACCCACAAATTAAATTCAAGATACTTACAACAACTTATAAAGCCACCCACAACTCTGCCTCCAGCTACAATCACTAACCTTGTCTTACAATATCGACCAAATCGTTCTCTTCGTTCCTCCCAAGCACCCCTGCTCTATAGATCTCTTGTCACCTCCTGCCATGCTCACCTCCAGGACTTCTCCAGAGCTGCTCCCATCCTCTGGAACTCCCTTCCCCACTGTGTCCAACTATCTCCTACTCTGTCCACTTTTACTCAGTCCATCCGCCACAGTTATTACCTTTTGTATGAATTGACCCTCCCTCTTAGGGCTCATGTACAGTGCAGCTGATAAACTCACGTTTAGGAGCTTTTCTGCGTTTTTTTCAGCAGCCCCTGAACTCTCCCTAATGTTTTCCTATGTGTCCATGTACACATCTTCGTTTACAGTCATTTACAGGCAGTTGAGTTTACAGTAGTTTTTTTTTAACGCACCAAACTTGCGTTTAGGAGTAGATTTTATCAGCGTTTCAGATACCAAATGCGTGTAAACGCACTAAACTCGGCTAACCGCGTTTAGAAGCGTTTTTTAACTGTTCCATATCCAGATGCTGTCCAGAGCCTTTTTTCATCGACAGAAATGCGTGCAAAGTGTTTTCCATGTATTCAAATTGACCCGGTACACCAGCGCAGTCAGTTCCAGGTTTTGCGTGAAGGAAACAATGGTAGAACGTGTCGCATTATGCTCATGATGGGATCCATAGTGAATACAACCAGAAAAGACAGGTCATCTCAACACATACTGCTCTCTCTGCTTCTGCTCTCTATTTCTCTCAAAATGTCGCAAATGCACTAATACAGCTACAATCAACTCTCTCAAAATGTCTGAAATAGTTAATTTTTTTTGGAAGGTCTCCTAAGGTTATCTTAAAAAAAACCCTTCTAAATGTAAACGCGCATAAACGCGGTATGCAAACGTGGCTAAACAGACATTTTTTAAACTATGTTTTCCAACAGTTTCCATCCTTCAAAAGAGTTTTCCAAACGTCCCGTGTACATGAGCCCTTAGACTGTAAGCTCTAACAAGCAGGGCCCTCTGATCCCTCCTGTATTCATTTGTATTGTAATTGTACTGTCTGCCCTTATGTTGTAAAGCACGGCATAAACTGTTGGCGCAATATAAATCCTATATAATAAGAAAAAATAAAACATCCTTGTGGCACTGTATGTAAAATGCATATGTATATAACCACTACTCACAGTGGAACTGTAGTGAGTAATGCAGCTTTGTTTGCTCTGTCACTTAAAAATGGATTGTGACTTTGGGAAGCAGTGATATGGCAAGAAGAAGAGAGTGAGGAGATGATGATTCTGGAAACATACATAACCCTATTTGTATATGAGGCTGTAAGCTCACAAAGCACATAACACTACACACATCAGTGAATTCTCATGGAAAGAACATGAGGCATATATTACCCAGCTGCTGTTGAGGAGGTGCTGCTGGAGATGTATACAAGCAAATGTCAAACATTCTGTACGTACACTGAACTCTGCATAAGATATGATGCAGGCCTCTGTTATAAATAGGACCCCTCGCGTCTTTCCTGGAATACGCAGCTTACAAGAACCACTTATTTTATTTATTTCACATACTTATATAGCGCCATCAATTTACACAGCACTTTACATATATATTGTACATTCCACATCAGTCCCTAACCCTCAAGGGGCGTACAATCTAAGGTCCCTAACTCACATTCATACATACACATACTAGGGACAATTTAGACAGGAGACAATTAACCTACCAGCATGTCTGTGGAGTGTGGGAGGAAACCAGAGTACCTGTAGGAAACCCACGCAGGCACAGGGAGAACATGCAAACTCCAGGAAGGTGGTGCCTTGGTTGGGATATGAACCAACGACCCTAGTACTGCCAGGCGGCAGTGCTAACCATTTACTTACACTTCTATGCTTAGACATGGACAATTTGATTTCCAGATACAGCATTTCTTAACTCCTTAAATTGTCTGATAATTAACAAGGCATAGCGCTTTTAATCATTCCATCTGCCAGACATAAAAAAAAATGGTTTTTGGGGTAAAAACCTGAGATCCAGAGCTGTTCTGGTGACCGGGCATGTGCTCGCGGCCCTAACATTTGGGAGAGGTGGGGAGTCAACAGCCTGAAAAGTTTCCTGGAGCCAAACTTCCAAGATCCTCTGGTCCTATTCTCCCTATTCTTCCCTGGTCTTCTATCTGGTTTGGTGTATTTGGCCATCTTGATTGGCCTCCCCAGGATATGGCAACTCATGCGCATGGGAGTTCATTTATCCCGACACCAAGGTATGCCAGGAATGTAAAACGAACTGTGTGTGCGTGCGTGTGTGTTTGCGTGTAGCTCAGTGTACACCAAGGAGAAACATTACTGACAGATATAAGAGGAACTTTAAGGCTGCTTTCACACAGATGTGTTTTTACAGTGCTAATAAAGCATCAAAAACAGAATCCCTTTAAAGCCTATGGGACTCCTCACACCACTGCACTGCGGATGCTGTACTTTTTTGAGGAGTTCTGCTTGCGGCATCTTTGGTGCGGTTTTCAAACCCGCATCAAAAACACAAGTCCCCAATAAATTTATTTGAAAACGTGTCAAAACACACCCGCGTTGCATGTCCAAGTTTCACAGGTGCCTTCTGGGTAATAGACACGCAGAAAACGCACCAGAAATGCAGCAAAAATGCATATGCGTTTTTACATTGAAGCAGCATGAAAACAACCTTAAGGTGGAAGAGACCGAGTCCCTTTAAAAGCCTATCTGCCAGCATTTTTTGACAATTAAGGATTATTCTAAACTCTGGGAGTTACAGGCTGCATTCACGTCTCCACATTTTGGGCATAATATACCTGCATGTCTGGTGTAGTTTTCTGCAAAACACACCTTCCAAAAGGGTCAATGGTAATGCATATCAGGGTGGATAAAAATCAATGATTTAAAAAAAAAAAAAAAAAAAAAAAAAAAAAAATCGGATTTTTTTTTTTTTTTATTTAAATCGGATTTTTTTAAATAAAATGCTTTTTGAGGAAAATATATTACCATCCAAAGGTTATTCCATCATGAAATAAAGATTAGTTTTTTAATTATGTAGAATAAGGCTGTATATGTTTAATTTTTTTGGTAAATAAATTCCATGAATCCATTCACAATGTCATGCTCTTCCAGAGGTTTCTGTAAGATTATTGGGCAGTTTCTCTGCCTACAAGATATTATCACAGATGTTCGGTTTACTTTTGCAGTTCTCAAAACTGAATTTGACTCAGCGGAGATCACATGTCTCTTCTTCACAGCAAAAATGTTATAACATGAACAGAGTTAAGAAAAAGACCTTCATCCTAACTTCTACAAACCTATGAATACAGAATCAACCCCTTCACTGCTAAGTTTCAAGAAGTTCAGTGAATAGAATAGAAACAATATTGTTCTGATTGTTTGGAGTGGAATAGATCTGCACAAGAAGAAAGTGAAACTAAGTGTGAGGAGGAAGGGGCTGACAGTCTACGTTTCTTAAAATATATATTTTGTTTAGCCAAATTAGTTAAACATGGATGTTTAAGCAAATCACATCTGCTGGAATGTTATTGTTTCAGTTGAATAAATCTATTTAAATTGTTATTATTAAGGTAATGATTATTTTTCTCCTTCCTAAGTACAACAGAAAAGTTGTCCAAATATGAATGATTAACCTATTAAACTGGGGATAAAAAAACTAATATGAAAAGTTATTTTCTAAAATCTTCATCTACTTGCATATTAAAGTTATACCAGCAAGAATTAGTCTTTATGTAGAAAACTAGGATTTAAATCAAGCCTTACTGACTAGTGATTTAAATCGTGATTTAAATCAAATCCACCCTGATGCATATAAATGGATGAAAAGCGTGGGAGTGTAAACGAAGCCTGTGGTGATTTGTCACTGCTGATTTTGTCATTCTCATGCGACTGGATTGTCCAAATCAGGCAGCATGACTGGGTCATTGAGGTTGGGTTATGACCCTGGCAGTTGAAGAAAAACGGGGAATTCTTCCATGAGTAGAGTCTCCACAACATACAAGGATGGTCTGATTGCTAGCAGGTACACCAAACATCTGTTTAGATTGGAGTTAGTATTTATGAGGCTTAGATGTATGCAGCTACAGCAAACTATCCATTGCAATGATGAATTCAGGAAACGCAATGCTTACTGTGACTACTGGAGCTGATAAAATAGATCAAAAAACAACTTTCGATGTATAACTGGCACAGACCTTTAGGGGGAAAAAAACCTGCAGAAATGGGCATGTAGAGCTAATATACCTGCTATCAAAAGCTGTCAAAGCAATGTCACTTACTGATCTTCTAGGCAAAGCCATGTAAACAAAATGATCCACTATTACCCTCTAGAGAACAGACTTCTTTCCCTGCCACCCATCTCCTTTGTTTACCTTAACAGCCCCCCCCCCTCCTTCTCCTCTCCCATGTAATGATTAGAATTTGTAAGGATTTAAAGCTGAACTCCGAGAATTCAGCCACCTTGTAAAATGTGCAGTCATACTATGAGTTAAGTCCAACAAGGTGCATGCCACCTAGTGGACTTATCTTTTAAATGCACATCTGACAGTTTTAGGGAACTCCCAGAGGATAGCTATTGCTACATTTCTGGAGCTCCAGCAGTAACCCTTCTGGTCTCAGCCCAGACTGGGGGTTGGCAGAGCAGAGAGCAGTGCCTGACAGTCATCAGCCTTCTGCATGCAGGAGCACTGAGACCTGAACAATCGGCTGTGTTTGATCAATGAATGCTCAGTGTTAGAGCTGGCAGGGGACAGATGCAGCATCGCACTGATACTGCATTCACCTAGGTAAGTATAATTTTAAAAAAAAAACCTAAACTTCTCTTTTAACAAGTGGTTGAATTCCTGGAGAGGAATAGTAAAGCTGTAAAGTAATTCTAAAGGTTGATTTTTTTTAAAAAAAAAAAGTAACAATCATGTTATGCAGTACTTATCTGCTCTGTGCAACGATTTTGCACAGAGCAGCCCCGATCTGTTTCTTTTTAGGTCCCCTGCCGGCAGTTCTGGCTCCTCCCTCCTGCTGAGTGCCCCCAACAAAAAGTCTCTTGCTATGGGGGCACTGGAGCAGGCTGACTGCCGATCCACACTCCTGTAAGTAGACACTATCCATTCACACACAGAGCACAGCTTGGCCATGCCCCTAGTTCTCTCCTCATTGGCTTACTGGCTATGATAGACAGCAGACCAATGGCTCCTGCTGCTGTGTGAGCCAATGAGGAGACATTCAGGAGAGCCACTGCTCTCATGCACATTGCTGGATCAAGATGGGGCTCAGGTAAGTCTAAGGGGGGGGGGGGGTGTAGAGCTGCACCCAGAAAGTTTTTTACATTAATGCAAAGAATTCGAAAATTTAAAGTACCACTTTAAATTTGTCCTTCATGTCAAGACATCCAACATTTTACAGAGAACACCTCACTATACAACCTGCAAGCAAATTTCCATAAATGCAGTGAATTAAAGACTTACCTAGTCTCTGAGAGAATTCATAGAATTTCTTTAGTTTGCCGACCAGAGGGACGACTGCTCCCCATGCCTTCTCCTGTAACTTCTCATCAGTAGCATGTTGTATTGCCTGGAAACAAAAAGATGTAATGTCAGCACTGTGAAACATACCTAAGTCTTCATTTATTTACAGCAGTGTTTCTCAACTCCAGTCCTCATGGACCCCCAACAGGTCATGTTTTCAGGATTTCCATTATTTTGCACAGGTGATTTGATCAGTTTCACTGCCTTAGTAATTACCACAGCTGTTTCATCTGAGGGAAATCCTGAAAACATGACCTGTTGGGGGTCCATGAGGACTGGAGTTGAGAAACACTGATTTACAGGGAGAGCAGCTTTATGGCTTCATGTGACGTGTTCATGTAGGTCTGCAGTGATCTGGCTTTCAGCAATCGATCACTAGAAAGGGATGTACATTCATTAAACAGCTGGACCAAAACCAAGAGCTCAGGGCAATCTTTTTATTTTTATATTATTATTATACAGGATTTATATAGCGCCAGTTTGCTCAGCACTTTATTTTTATAAAGGGATAGAATCTTTACAAGGTTTTTAGTGTTGCTGTCATACAAACTGGGAATATGTTCCTTCACCTCTTGCTGTGTGTTACAACACACAAATGCATTTTATTCAATATAAAAGGGCATTGGACAGTTTTCAGTTCTTTTTTTGTTTTGTTTTTAAACCAGCGTTTATTCTGCTTACATTTAGCCTTTCACTTGTTTCTCCTTCTCCGTGCTAATGATATTTTAAATGAAACCCATTTTCATTCTACACCTCATTTTAGGCTAGTGACATAATTATTGCATCTCTGTGCTTCTCTAGGCAATGAAGGCAGATTATGTTTCATAGAAAGGGACACTACATAGCTTTCAGAAAACATCACAACACCCTGCATCAGTAACTCCTCTCAAGAGCCCTGAATCCTGATGCAAGCAGTGGGCAGTTATGCAGATATCAAAATGCCTTGATGGGTGGATGTTAGTCTGAAGGATTTGGTCTCCCTAGGCAGAGAGCATTTACATGCAGACTGCCCTAAGTAACACCAACATGTGATGCTGAGCTGCCATGACTAAAAGAGCTAAATTCCAATAAATGAAAGGGGTGGGTCAGGGTCAGTAAGGCTGGGGAGGAAACTGATCGATGATGTTGGAAATCCTCCATCCAGGAAAGAAGGCAGGCTCTATCTGACTTGCCGTAGCATCTGTTACATACTGTCAGAAGCTCAAAGTGTGCAGCAAAATCAAAGTATGCACCAGTGCGGAAACTGCAATGAAGTGACATCTTGCTGGTTTGGCAAACAAAGAAGTGATGCAATAGAAGCAGGTGAGTGACCTCTAGTGCATTACCTTCAGCGTCAGGATCACTAGTGTAACATGGTCCGTAAACCATTGACCATTATATCTATAGAAAAAGGTTAAAAGGGCGTGCCTGGCTTAGAACTTACCAATCACCAGGTAGGAAAGCAATAAGGAACTTGTTTGTAATAGAGAGTGGATACCATCCATCGGCTCTTCCATGTATGCTCACCATAGCCTGCATTTTACAGCCCATGGCCCTCCTAACCAGGGGTGGACTGACAACTCATGGGGCCCCTGGGCAATAGGGGATCATGGGGCCCCTGTGTCCTTGCCCAAACTCAAAAAAGCCTATGAAAAAGGTACCAGGGGCATCTCATGGGGCCCCCTACTGACCCCGGGCCTTTGGGCAGTGCCCAAGTTTCCAAATGGTCAGTCCGCCCCTGCTCCTATCCCTCTTGTATTGAACTGTATCATTGCTGTATTGTCTCCCGTTATATTGTAAAGCGCTGAGCAAACTGTTGGCGCTATATAAATCCTGTATAATAATAAAAAGTAACCCACTGAGTGAAGACTGTGTTAGGCCATAGAGTTCTTTGTGCTTAATGCATGCAGAAGAAAGACAGTTCACAATAATGGGCTCTCCAGACTTTTTTTATGCTCTCATTCATTTTTATGGCACTCAGACAGCATCTGACTCCCAAAAACAGCACAATGCACATTTGTGAAGTACCCTGTTGTGCAGTTTTTTTTTTTTAAGCAGCTTTTTTAAATGGGCCCCAAAGAAACTGTACTCTTCATTTGTGGCTTCAAGACACAACATTAACCCCTTCACGCCCCTGGGTAAAACAAATCTAAATGCCTAAGCACAATTCTGCAACGTTGACATGTGATAGTAAAACCATCGATATCATAACTACTTTGTACATCCAGGTGGATTATACCTTGATTTTTTCAGGACAAAAATTGGGATTTCATTTGGTGGTAACTGGTAATGGATAGCTCCTGCTTTTTTTTTATTATCAAAGGAAAACTGGCCCAAAATAGTAAAAAAAAAAAATTATTTTTTTTTATTTAGCTGTGTGTTTCTTGTTACTACCATAACCTACCACCGAAGAACCCAAAATAAATTCTCCAGCTCTTGACTATCGCAGCGATACCATATATGTGTATGTTATTTGTTGTTTGTACCCGTAGTACAGCCCAGAAACAATAGTGTTGGTTTTTTTTTGTTTTGTTTTTTACCTAAAACATACTGACACTGATATTAACACTAACTGACACCAATTTTTTTTTTAAATCCTGAACTTTGACCCAAACACTAACCCTGGCACTGAACTAGATCAAACCTTGATCTAGGTATTTTTCTTTATTTTTCTTGTATTTTTTAATATTTATCTTTTTTTTTTACAAACTTTTTTTCCCTCTATGCCAGGAGTTAGAGAGAGACAATGTATCTCTCTTCTCCATTCATAGAGAGAGAAAAAAACAAGGGGGCCATGCTGCACAGTGACCGATCACTGTGATAGCCAATCAGAGGCTATCAAAGCAATCATGTGACCCGTAATCAGAAGTCCTGGGTCTCGATCGTTAGAACGGGACCCGGGGCTCTCAGTGACATCGCGGTCTCTGTGCTGGGAGCGCCGAGGGGCGCTCCCAGCACAAAAACCGGTAAGCAAATATGCGACCCCACAGAAAAAAGCCCAGTTCCGTGAGGCGGCATATTTGTGTGACATCGGCGTCAAGGGGTTAAAATGGAATTCAACAATGAGGCTGCTGACTTGTTTCTTCCTCAAGTAGCCCTCCCCTATCAAAGTTTGTCTACAAAACGAACAGAATTTTACATTAAACAGAGAAAACTGGATTTCTCTTCTGCTTCTAGCTCTTGGCTGATAATTATTCACCTAGTTCTAACTGTAACCCCCACCCTAACCTTACCCAAGCCTAACAGCTTTTTTTTTTTTCCATAGACCAAAGCTCTAGTCTGATCATATCGCTCTGTACTCTCTAATATTGCCTAATCCATATAGTAAGCGCTGCCCTGCACTAATCATAATCCACCCTGATCTTAACCATATCCTCTATAATGCCTTATAACAAAAGAAAGCTTGCTCGACACAATCTGTATACACCTGTACAGTGGAACTCATTTATAAAGCCTACGTTTACCTAAAACTAAAAACAAAAAATCAGCACAAGGGATACAACGTACAGTAAGTAGGTTGTGTCCCTTGTGCTGATTCTTTTTCTCTTAGGAGAAATCTTCCCCCTCTTACCATCCTTCTCCGCCCTCCACCACAGTCTTCTAGTGCAGTGGGGTTTAATACAACTAAAAAAGGCTGTCTCATCAAGAGAACTTGACTATACCTGACCCCCCACCCAGATCCACCATTCTTAGAAGCTGTACTACAGCTTCTATGAATGACTCAATATCTGTGAATGTAGGGGGCGGAGCTATCAACCATCCGCCCATCCCCTATTCATAGAATTGAAAGATTATGCCAGTGAATGGTAGCATGGAGGAATATTTCTCCTACAAGAAGAAGAATCAGCACAAGAGACACATCATACTATATGTAAGCTTTGTCCCTTAAACTGATTTTCATGTTTTTAGATTTTAGCTAAACTTAGGCTAGGTATTTAGATATGGAACCATTAAAAATGTCATAAAAAAGGAGCATATGTAGGTAGGAGAAATTATTAAGTTGGGCAGCACAGTGGCTAAATGGTTAGCACTTCCGCCTGGCAGTACTAGGGTTGTTGGTTCGAATCCCAGTCACGGCACCACCTGCCTGGAGTTTGCATGTTCTCCTTGTGCCTGAGTGGGTTTCCTCTGGGTACTCTGGTTTCCTCCCACACTCCAAAGACATGCTGGTAGGTTAATTGGCTCCTGTCTAAATTGTCCCTAGTATGTGTATGTATGGATGTGAGTTAGAGACCTTAGATTGTACGCCCCTTGAGGGTTAGGGACTGATGTGAATGCATAATATATATGTAAAGTGCTGCGTAAACTAATGGTACTATATAAGTACCTGAAATAAATAAAATAAATGAAGTTGAATGTGTGAAGAGCATTGGGATAAGGTTGGCATTTATAGTCTCCAAGAAAGAGCCCCACCAAGATTTATAAAGCAAATAAGTTATAAAGAGACAATGAGGTTATTGCTAACCACAGAACTCAGTCTTTTGACAACAAATCTGGCTTGAGAAATATTCATTATAAGCTGGTTGGTGGCTGTGGGAAAAAACGTTTTCTTGTTAAAAAAAAAAAAAAAAGCGCTTTAAGAAATAATACAGTTTAAAAAAATTAAACACATTCACCTCTCGGATCTCCAGGCCCGCTCCTCGATACGACTGTAAATCATCCAGGATTCCTTCAGCATCTTTTAATACTACATTCACCTGATTATAAACATCCTTTTCGGACTCTGTAGGCTGAGCATCTGAGAGGCATCAAATCACATGACTGTTAGCTGGCATAATAGGACTATAAAAGCCAACCCCACCAAGAACTGACATTTCAGTTTCGCATTGTTGCCAACAAGGTGGATCACATGCTGGTTTCATGCATCTTTTAGTTACTTCATCTATATAATAACATTGCCTCTACCTAGGTGCTGTGGTTATTACAAAAATGAATGATGGAGTCCTCCTCTCCCAATGGGTCCTAGGCAGAAAAACTCCAGGGAGTTCAGCTCTTGAAGGATGGCAACATTGTTGATGCCCTGGAGGAGGCCACAAACACTAGCCACAAACTACTGGCAGGAAAACTGACTACAGGAGCTTCCAGTAAATATATAAATGGAGATTTAACACTCATGTGCCTATTCAAAACTGAAAAATCACTTTTACATGGAGTTGGCTTTTGACAAGAAAAAAAATGTCAGAAGAAGACTGGCGAAGCAAGCAATTCTAACTAATGTATCAAATCAACTACCCCAAAGAAGACAAATTGCTAAACAGGAGCATATGCAAAGCTAGGACAGATTACTAGGCTGAAACTAGTCACACTGAACAGTACATGGGGGCAATAGTAACACTTGTATTCTAAACTAAAAACACACAATACATAACCTCAATATGTCTTCATAGTAAATAATTGAATATCCCTTATCAGGTTCGTGTATTTCTAATCTGAGTTCAAATTTTAAAGCTCAATTTATATCAGCTAAATAAATTCCAAGTGCATTAAAACAAAACAGTGATCAAAACATTTCTTCCTAAAGCAGCCACAGCCTGAATAGAAAAGCCTGTCCTCTGCCAGAATGCTGCAGAAGACCCTTGCTCTCTGTGTGGAAACAGTGGTCTTTCTGTAGAGGTCCGACACACCTAAAACTCTACAATAGGCAGATACGCTCCAACTCCTAGATAATTGAAGAGCTCTATCTGATTTAAACTGATAGTTCCGTTGGACTTTAAAATGTTACCCCTCTAGAGAGGAGTGAACCCACTGCCTTGTCTATTGAAATCATCTTTTTAAGCAAACCTTGGCCAACATGTCTTGGAGAATCAAGCATCTGAGTTGAACAGTTTTGACTGATCACGGATGTTTTCTCTATAGAATGAGTGTCGCTTGGAATGCCCTCTTACCATTTCCCTGCTTCCTCCAATGGCATAAACATGCAAGCTTGGGTAATCCCAACATATATGTTTACGCAAAGACCTTTAGAAAGAAGGATCTTTCAGTAGTCAGAATACATATACCTCAGTCTAATATCTATGGCTAGCTTAAAGCGGAACGTCACTCAAAAAGTGAAGTCCTGCCGGTTTTATTGTGTCACTCAGTCTGTAACAGAGTTACAGTTTTGTTATATTTAAATTTTTTTGGGGGGTACCAATTTTTATCAGTACTTGCTCCCACTTCCAAAATCCTTGCCTAGACAAGGATGACATCCCTTGCCCTGGCCCCTCTCTTCCCGCAGCATGCTGGGACATGTCACATCTCCCAGGAGTCTGCAGCACCATACCCAAAGTGAGAGCGAGCTTGTGCATGTGCAATGGGGAGAAAGCAGAGTATTCCTCAAGAAACCACAGCCAGGCCCAAAATCCAAGATGCAGTGGTGTGAATCCGCAGTGGTGAGAACCACTGGTTGCAGGAAGACAGTGCAGAAACCCCAAGCTCTGGTAGGTACCTGATTTTTAAAAGTCAGCAGCTATAGTATTTGTAGCTGCTGAAAAAAAAAACAAAAACAAACTTAGGTTTCTCCTTAAGGACTCTGATTTGATCAGAAGAGGATCTAAGCAGAGCAGGCGGATGACAGGTCCGTGGCCATGCAGAGAATACGGACAGAGCCTGTTCTGCTGGTGGCCAATAGTAAATGGACTGTCTGTTTACACCTGACTAACCTCTGATCTGTTCCACCTACACAAAAGGTGAAGGACCCCTTCAGTTTCTTTTAATGGACCGGACAGAAGGCAGGCGCACGTAAACAGTCCGTTTACACACGCCAGTCCGAAGGGATAAATGGACCATCCGATCGCGACCACCTGAAAAACTGAAAAGGTGGACCTGATCAGGTCGACCATGTGAAAGGGACCTATGTGTCATTTCAGCCCCCCTTTTTTTTTTTAGCTTTCAATAGTGTGGGGAAGAATTAGACACCCTGTTGGGTTTCTACTGCTGTCCAGAGCTCCATTGGAGAGATTTCCCCTCATTTTCCTGATACTGTGATGGTTTCAGCAGACAGGAATTGAGGAAAAAAAAAAAAAAGCATCACATTTTTATCTTTAGAGCCTCTGTTGGCTTTATAATAATGTCCCTGTTGTCAAATTCCATCCAAAAGCATGGTGAGTGGAATTCAGAAAAAAAAAAAGAATAGGTAAGAGTCATCATTTCTGTCTTATTTGTTCTTATTTGTCTGTATCCCCATTGGAATGACTTCCCTTTACTTCAGGTCAATGTGACACCAAGATAAAAAATGTCATCAAGACCGGAACAAAAAGTAATAAACTATAAGATATTCTAACCTTCCCCACTCTACTAAATACATGTGCTTTTGTTGCAAACTCTGTCCCCACAGGAGAGATATCCTAACATCATTGCCATCTCTGTCCCCAAAAGAGAGATCTCTCAAGACTTGCTGTATATGTCCCAAGCAAAAAAGTGAGGGTAAATTTCCCCTCCGGGAGACAGTCTCTCACTCTTCCTGTTTATATACATAAAGTTTTGGTTGGATTTTTTGTTTTTTACCTATGCTAACAGAAACAAGGTTTAAACACTCGACACAACTAACTCACTAAGACTAGTTCTACTACCAAACAATTCCATATCAGTGGTCATATTCTAACCTGAGCTCCTCAAATGTATTTTTGGAGGATATGCTTTGCTTTGTTCAATTGCAAATGTTCCTTAAAGCTCCCGTTCTTCGATACTTCTAAAACCACTTAGGCTCCTTTCACACTATGGTTTTTCAATTAGTGTGATTCTGCCTGCAATTTGAAAAACCGCTGTAAAAAAGTGTGAAAACACGTGTTCGCGAATTCAGGTGGCGGGGTGTTTTTGCTGAGATCGCGGTGCATTTTTCCGCTCCGCGATCGGGCAAACAAAATCACAGGATGCTCGATGCCCAAAAAAAGTTTCCGCGTGTTTACAGCGTGTTTTCAAATTCAGAGATTCTGCCTGTGATTTGAAGAACCCTAGGGTGAATGGAGTCTTAGACTAACACAAACCGTAGTATTAGGGTGGCACCTATAAGCAAGATTACCTTGTTGGCTTCTAATATCTCTCAAAAGACGACAATAGGGGGTGATTTCCTTGTAATTGTCTCCCCTCCCCACAAGGCCATAACAAAGACTTTCTGCTTCTTTTTTTTTTCTCTTTACTGAACATTATGCCAGACCATTAGGGAGTATGACACCTTCAATTGGCTTGGTGAAGTCTGTGGTGACAAGCCACACTGGGAATTATGGAAAGAACAAATCTAGACTGGGGACCCTGAGAGATCAGAGAAACCAGCAAGTAGTACCTTAACTTACCAGTAATCCTCCAAGTAGAACTTTTAGTTCTAGGCTAATACTAATCAATCATTTTCATCTGGCAGTCTATGGAGTTGCATAAATTAATTCTGCTTGATTTGCAGATAAATTAGTTCAAATGAAATAGATGTATGAATCAAAATGTAGGCGATTGCTCCAGACACTGCAAATCTTACCCACTTGGGCCTAAAATATAACTTTCATTGCAAGATATTACTAAAATATTGCCATAAATCTTAATATTTTTTACGTGGCTGAATACTAACAGCGAGAGAATAGCTGTATCTAGAGGAGACTATCCTCACCTACTGCTTGAATACGTCTCATTCTCTAATCTGAGCTTGCCATTCTCAGAATCCAGGATTGTACCCTATACTGAGATCACTCCGAATCATTGGGGAAGATTTACTAAAACTGGTGCACTCAGAATCTGGTGCAGCTGTGCAAAGAAACCAATCAGCTTCCAGGTTTTATTGTCGAAGCTTAAATGAACAAGCTGAAGTTAGAAGCTGATTGGCTACCATGCACAGCTGCACCAGATTCTGAGTGCTCCACTTTTAGTAAATCTCTACAATAATCTAGTAGCCGATTAAGCTTATTGCTTTCCCCCAAAAAACTACACAATATAACATGGGGCTCAAAAACTCTCCAACATAACCATTTTCATAGAGGCATATTTGTTACCCATTTGATATTTTGTCACACAATCCACCCATGACAAAGGCTCAGCTTTTGAGGCAAAATATGCTAGGGGTTATGTTTCACATGACTCACATATGCCTTTAAGTGTTCTTTGTATTTTGTCTCTTCTCCTCCCAGGGGCGGGCTGACCATTTGGAAACTTGGGTACTGCCCGAGGGCCCGGGTCAGTAGGGGGCCCCATGAGATGCCCCTAGTAACTTTTTCATAGGCTTTTTTGAGTTTGGGCAAGGACACGGGGGCCCCATGATCCCCTATTGCTTTGGGGCCCTATGAGTTATCAGTCCACCCCTGGCTCCTTCCCTTTCCTCTGGTTAGTTCATGCTGTATAGATAGCCCTCCCCCTTTCCCAGTAAGGCATTGCAGCTCTCTAGCTTCATGTCATGAAGCAGATCACATTATGATCTTTTTGCCTATCCGATGTTCATTGTTGTACGATTCTCTCAGTTTATGGAATAAATTTCACAAGATCTATAAGGTGTCATCTGATCGAGTCACTGCCTGTGTTATTCAACTAAGATTGGAGTTATCGCTATCTCATCACAACTAAGTTACAGAGATCACACTTTCAATGCTTAGATTGGAGAGACAGAACACTGGGTTTCTGGGTTATCTTGGCACTTTAATGTTGTTATAGTTTTTCGGGTGAAGAAATCAGTGTATTCATTTACTATATTATGAAAGTCAGAGTGTGCTCATTATAGGGTACAATACCACATTTTGATACAAGATTCTGGAAACAGCGTGAACTTAGATTACAGAAGACTTG